TATGAGATATAAGACATGCGGTTATACGGTCAGATTATAAGGACATACTTATGGAACTCATATGAGGATAATAAATACTTATATTTAGCCTGGAAGAATAAGGTTAAGGGGAGCGGCACGAGATAAATGCATGTGGATTGTATGAACATGACAGTAAAATTAATTACAATACCTGGGCCAGTTGAAATGCAGTCGAACACAATTGAAACAAGATAGTGTAACAGAGAAAAAATTCTGTCTGCAGATATGAACCGATGAGGAATGTGGATGTGGGGGTTTTGTCCTTATATGGCTAGAGTTAAATGCTGACGTTCGTATTTGCACATCTTTATAGTAACAGAGGGACACAAGGTCTCTCTCGGTCTCGGTCTTGGCTCTGTACAACGATGTAACTCTCCCATCAGAACTCCAGCAATTACCATCTGCTGTTGAAGGTCCACTATCCTGTAACATCCTTTATTATGTTTTATTATGCATCCGTAACTAAGAATATACCTGAAGAAACCGTAAGTCAGATTGCGTATTAGTACTTTTCAATAATATAGACATATATTACTGTGGCGAGCATTTGGCCCAAGACTATATATACAAAAGACATATATATATATATCAATCAACTGAAGACAAGAGGAAATTAAGAAGATTTAACAGTGACGTTCGTTCCAACAAGATTTTACACACCACAAAAGTGTTAAAATAGCCCTGGACCTTAACGTACAACATGGACAAAGCAGTCCGGTCCTTAAAGGGTTAAACAAACTGCAAATTGATGTATGACTAGAAGAACTAGCTTAAGTGCATACAGTAGTTAACAGACATAATTATGCCTGACCCTTTTAAAGTACGATTCTCTTGCCCTGTGCAGAGCCCATAAAGGGTGGTGACGGACAGTGAAATAAGACATATTATCATCAAGGCAGTACCATAAAGGTGAACCACATGTATAGGCCTAAATTTGAACCGGACATAAATTTGTCAGGGCCTCATGTATAGGCCCAAGTTTGGACCTGAAGCCAGCATGACCAACATAATATTAAAGTATGTTTGACTAGACCAGTGTGGAGCACAGAAAGGGCTAAACCAACGTAAGTAATGACAGACAGTGAAATAAGACACAGGCACAAATGCTAACCAGATGTATAGGCATACATTTAGACAGTTGTAGCAACACCCAGCCACATATTCAGACAAAGAAAACATTAAAATGTAGGTTGACTAACTGAAATGCATAAATGTATATGATATACATTTTATGAGTTTGAGGTTGTTTCGTAAAAATTATTATTATTTTTTTTTTTTTGACATTTAGAATATATTATCCTTTATAGAGAAGAATGAATTTGTAGGTTTTATTGTGTATAGAGAATGCATGCCTAAATACCCAGGGGGGTAGCCATAAAGAAACATTAAAATGTAGTGTGACTAACTGAAATGCATGTGATAAAAGTCAATACGGACTAATGAGTGCAGAATACAGCAAGCAGAATGCATGAGATGAATTGAGGCAGCTCTGTGATTCTATGTACAATCGCAATCGGCTGAATTTGCGTTAGTAGTTAGTGAGATAAAATTAATACTTGCGTAGGTTGCATGAGGCCAAGACCAGCTTGTTTGGAGTTTAGGCAGTTTGTGTTGATGACCTTTGAACTGGAAGTAGATCTAAACCAGGCAGCAACAACACAGAGGAAGGGGCAGCCTGTATATTTATAGGCAAACTAACCCCTCCCACAATTCCAGGCTTCACCCACAGGCTCAATCGGTTGCAAGATGTTAGCAGGAACAGCATACACAGAGAGAGACAACCAAGTTGCTGGGATTGTGTACCGAAACATCAGCTTAAGTTCCGATGGGAGATACCAAAGGGTAGTTGAGAATGACAGGGCTAAGATCCTGTGGGACTTCAGGATCCTGGTAGACAAGGAATGAAAGACTGCAGTCATGGTGGATGTGGCAATATCCAGTAACTATAACATCAGGAAGAAGGAACATGAGAAGGTGGAGAAATACCAAGGACTGAAAGAAGAACTAGAAAGCATGTGGAAAGTGAAGGCAGTAGTAGTTGTGATAGGAGCACTCGGGGCTGTGACTTCCAAGTTGGGGGAGTGGCTTCAACAGATTTCAGGTGGGACATCTGAGATCGCTGTCCAGAAGAGTGCAATTCTAAGAACAGCTAAGATACTGCGCAGAACCCTCAAACTTCCAGGCCTCTGGTAGAGTACCCGAGAATGAGGAATAAACATACCACCCAGGAGGGGTGAAAAAAATCAAATTTTATAAAAAATTATAAAGCCTTGCCCCGCCCTGCAATTAGGCTCAGAGCACTCTGATTGGTGGGTTTAAGCCATCCAATCAGAGTGCTCTGACAGGTAAATGAAGAGACTGACAGGTAAGTCTCCACATTTACCTGTCACAGCACTCTGGTTGGTTTGAAATCCACCAATCAGAGTGCTCTGTGTCATTTTATACAGCGTGGGAAAATTATTTGAAATTTTCCCACGCTGTGTAATTTGACTCATAACTCTCTGATTGGTTACTTAATCCACCAATCAGAGAGTTATGAGTCAAATTACACAGCGTGGGAAAATTCCAAAGAACTTTCCCACGCTGTGTAAAAAGACACAGAGCACACTGATTGGTGGATTTCAAACCGGTCAGGGGTGGGGGCCAGGGAGAGGACATTAGGTCCCCCCCCATTCTTGTCTAAGGCCCCCACCCACCGCTCAGGGGTGGGGGCCAGAGAGGAGGACTTTAGGTCCCCCCCCCTTATTAGTATTTAGGGCCCCCACCCACCGCTCAGGGGTGGGGGTCGCGCGTCTCGGGAGGGGGGACTCTATTTTATTTTATTTTTTAAACCGTGAGCAGCCACAGGCTGCTCACTGTTTAATAGACATGCCTCTACTCGCGGTATAGCAAGTAGAGGCATAATTTACTAATACTAAGTAATCTTTACTTAGTATTAGTAAATTTGGTTGAAAGACCAATTTAGGTCTTTCAGCCCTTTAGTAGATAACTCCCTAATTCCCACGGTATTAGGGAGCTATCTACTAAGTGGCTGCAATAGAAGTCCCAAGGTGCCGAAGTCCCGAAATTCCAAAGTCCCGAATTGCGAAAATCTCGAATTTCTGAATACCGAACCGAACCGGAAATTTTCCCCATGCACATGCCTACTTATGAGTTTTTGGACAGTTTCTGCTTGAATTTGTTTGCAAGATGTCAGAATAGCCTCCCAGAGCTGCTGTTTGGATGTAAACTGCCTCCCACCCTCATAGATCTTTTGCTTGAGGATGCTCCAAAAGTTCTCAATAGGATTGAGGTCAGGGGAGGATGGAGGCCACACCATGACTTTCTCTCCTTTTATCCCCATAGCAACCATTGATGCAGAGGTATTCTTTTCAGCATGAGATGGTGCATTGTCATGCATGAAGATGATTTTATTATGGAAAGCTTAGTTCTTCCTTCTGTACCAGGGAAGAAAGTGGTCAGTCAGAAACTCTACATACTTTACAGAGGTCCTCTTTACACCTTCGGGTACCCTAAAGGGGCCGACCAGCTCTCTTCCCATGATTCCGGCCCAAAACATGACTCCACCGCCTTGCTGACGTCACAGCCTTGTTGGAACATGGTGGCCGTCCACCAACCATCCACTACTCCATCCATCTGGACCATCCAGGGTTCCACAGCACTCATCAGTGAACAGGACTGTTTGAAAATTAGTCCAAGTATTTTTCTGCCCAATGCAGCCGTTTCTGCTTGTGAGCATTGGTTAGTGGTGACTGAATAGAAGGTTTATGCACAGTTGCAAGACTATGGATGACTCTACACCTTGATGTCCGTGGGACTTCAGAGGCACCAGCAGCTTCAAATATGTTTGCTGCTATGTAATGGTATTTTAGCAGCTGCTCTCTTGATCCGATGCATGGATCTGGCAGAAATCTTCCTCAATGTGCCTTTATTTGCACAAACCTGTCTGTGCTCTGAATCGGCCACAAACCTCTTAATAGTACGATGATCACGCTTAAGTTTTCGTGAAATATCTAATGTTTTCATACCTCGTCCAAGGCATTGAACTATTTCACTCTTTTCGGCAGCAGAGAGATCCTTTTTCTTCCCCATATTGCATGAAAATGGTGCTCTGCTTAATAATGTGGAACACCCTCCTTTAGTAGTTTTTCCTTAAATTGGGCTCACCTGGCAATCTAATTATCACAGATGTCTGAGATTGTTTTCAGTGATCAAAAGAGCCCTGAGACACAATGCCATCCATGAGTTAAACTGAAAAGCTAAATATTTAATCTTTGTGACACAACAGGGTGCAGGGTGGAATATATATATTTCAAATATTTATAAAGGGTGCACTCACAGGACTTGAAAAATGTTTAAATGGTGATTTTAATCCAAAAGGTAAAGAACAATTTCATCTGTAAATCAACCGACGTTTCGACCCCTGAGGGTCATTATCAAGATCACAGAATGTAACATAATGTAACAATAAATATAAAATAATGTAAAACCCTTATCAGTCAACATTAAGAGAAAATCGTATAAACTCTCTCCACGGATTCAAACCTGGAAGTGTCGGGTAGCCGCATGTGACAACGTTGTGACCTAATGACGCACTGCGGGAAGTAATGTGGTTGCTTAGATTACCAGTAAACCAAGTGTACAATGCCAAAAGATTGTGAGAATAACATGTGAAATGAAAATATAAAGGCAAACCATGCTAAAGATATGGAGGAGATCTAAGATTTTAAAGCGGGGCCGAATGTAATGGCGTTAAGGTGTTAATTATCATATCTTTGCCTATTACTAAATATACCATACCTGAGTGCACTTGCAAATAGATTACAGTGGAACATGTGAACTGAAACAAAAATGTGTTGTTTTCCCCCTCTACTAAAACTATTACTACTACCACTCCCACTCTTATGTATGTACTTTTTTGTATGGTGTTTTTATTTTTTATTTCTTTTCAATTTAATTTTATTTGTGTCCACAGAAAAATGCCTAACTGGGGAGGTGGAAAGTCGTGTCCAGTTTGCCAAAAATCTGTTTACTTTGCAGAGGAGGTTCAATGTGAGGGTAACAGCTATCACAAATCTTGCTTCTTATGCAGTAAGTACTGCCATTTCCATTACTATAGTAAAATCCTCCATTTTCTGCACTAGTGTTCTTACGGTTCTTCATTCTGTAGTAGATGTGATAGTTCATTTTTACGCTAACAAACACGTTAATGAAGTCTCTTCCAGTTATAAATTATCTCTAGGTGTTTTTAATGTTGAAAACACCATAACCACTACAACTTGCAATATTGTTTATGATGCCAAGAGCATCCTGGTGCTCCTCCTGATTGTAAGTAGTCAGACAAATTGCTAATGGATCAACTTCTCCTCTGGGGTCTGCCACGCGGTCATTTCCTGCACTGATAGCCGGAAGTATCTCCATGGATGTTCTCCAGAGCTAAATCCTGCAATGCACAGCCATCTGGCCGAGGGTGTCAGCTGATTGCTCTCAGCCAATGAGCTAAGCCCTACACTGGTATCCTACCAGTTACCAGCATGAATTTAGCATATCTAATTGTATTTATGGTGCTTATTTTTGGACAGTGTTTTATTATTCTGCTCGTGTGGCAGTTTATACTTTTAATTTTAATACTTTCTGGTTCCATAATTCGCATTTTGACAACATATTTTTAGCAAATACAAATTTGTTCCACTGCAAGCACTTTAAAATATCAATTAAGACTCGATAGTTCAAGCTCAGTGAAGATCTGTCCCTCCAAATGCAAATTTAGTCAAACAAGTACACATTTGAGCTGTAGTAATGACAATGCAAAATATTGTTTTAAATCCCTTCTTTTATCAATGAGTAGGCTTGTTTAAAAGCTTCATAGTAGCTCTTGCTTGCAACAATTGTATCCATAAAATTGACAAATAGAAAATCTTGTTGCCCAGATGAAGGGAGCTGCCTAAGTGAGTGTGTGTGCTGAACAGAGACAGAGAGGTTTCGGGGAAAGCTACAAAAAACATTTCAGTTGCATTTGTGTCCCAAAAGTACAGTGGCCTCTATAATTCTTAAATGGAAGAAGTTTGGAGCAGCAAAGACTCTTCCTAAAACTGGCTGTCTGGCCACACTGAGCAACTGGAGAAGAAGGGCCTTGGTAAGAGACAGGACCAAGAACCCAACGGTCACTCTGGTTGATCAAATGTGGAGATGGGAGGAACTTCTGGAAGGACAACAAGCACTGCAAAACTTCTCTGATCTGCCTTTATGTCTGGCAAGACAGATACATCTCCTCACTGTAAGACACATGAAAGCTTGCTTGGAATTTTTAAAAAAAACACCTAAACACCTATTGATCTGAGGAAATGCAGATTGATTTGTCTGGCCTTAATAAAAAGCATCATGTCTATAGGAAACCAAGCACCGCTTATCACCTGCCTTGTACTATCCCAATGGTGACGGATGATAGTGGTAGCATCATGCTTTTGGGGGTGTTTTTCAGAGTCCGGTACTGGATGATTGTATCGGAGCTCCCTTTACCCCCGGTTGGGTACCTCCGCCAAAGGACCGTATAACAGAACTAAGCACCGCACCGGACACCACAACCACTGCAGACTCCACAACTTCCGTAGCTTAACTGGAGTCTCGCCGTCTTCTGTCCACCCTGGATCAGCTTCTGTCCTCCAGGACCGTGTGGGGAAGACCTCTCCTCCAGGAGAGCGTACCAGGAACAAGATCTTAAAAGAGCTAAGTGATTAAAGCTCAGGGGAGGATGCAGAGCATAGCAATCCCCAGTGTGAGTATAGCTGTCCCCTCCAATCACGAGACAAGACTTCATGTTGAGGGTCAAGAAGAACTGTTTTAATTAGCACCAAAGGGTCTTTTTTTATGCAGGATTTCTCTACATAGGACCACCCACAGGGTTTTTCAGAACAACCAATAAAAACATTAAAACACATACAATAAAGTAAACCACCCCCATTCATGCCAGCAGAAATCCTTCCCTCTGCCTGTGATACAATTATCTCAACACAAAAGACTAACTTAATTATCACAGGCAGAAAATATACAATTTTTACACATACACTGTAACTTCAAAACCACACATCCAATCTTCATAAAATCCACATATTATTAACCAGCATCCTTTAAATATAAACATACTCAAAAATCATAAAAATCCTTCCAATAGATAAAAAGTTAGACGGAAGTCCATTGTGACCGACAGTTCCATGGATTTGGGCTCTGCGGTTGGTCTATTTTACACTGAAAAAACAAGCGTTCGACTCTTCGAATGGGACTTAGTTTCCAGCCGCAGTGTCGAAGTGGAGAAAAAGGTACGGGTTAGCGGTGTTCATCTAAATGTGTAGACGATTTCAGTTCCATGGATTTGGCTACACATACCGCTGACCTCGTTCGAATGAACAAATATGGCCACCGCCACGTGTTCGTTTGCACAAACTGCGGCCACCCAGCGGTCTGCAATTTACCTACAGCAGGCTCCCAGCCTGGGAGGTAAATTGCCTGCACACTTCCACTTCTGGGTGGTCCGCCTGTGTGGTACTTGGTTCAGTAAGCCCCATTTACTGAACCAAGTGTAAAGAAGCCATGAATAAAGTACTTTAACCAAGTCTGGAGACACTGGGTACACAGGCTTAAAGGGGCAGTGTCCCAAACAAGTCTGGGTACACCGTCTTAAATGGGGCATTGTCCCAATTTCCCCCATGTCCCAAAAAATTTTCTTAAAAGGCCAGCACCAGTCCAATGAAAGTCCATAAGCCCCAATAATGTTCTTAAAGAGCCATACACCCCAGGGCCATAGTCGCAGGGCAGGAGGCTGGCAAGCAAGCCTCTCCAGGACCAAGTGGCAAAGGGCACTTCGTCACAGACCACTTCCTACCTGGAACAAGGGACAAACTGCAGCACTTCTGCCCACAGTCGCCGGGGCTGGACTTGGGGCCCTGGAACCGCTCCGTCCTGGAGCCAAATGGGGAATTAGCTCTAGTCCTTACAAGGACTTTCCTGGTTGAATCTCCTGCAAGCTGGAACAGCAGACACAGGAGCAAGCTTTCTTCCTGCAAGCTGGAACAGCAGACACAGGAGCAAATCTTTTTTCCCTCCAATAACAGGAAGACACACCATTTTGGAGTGTAAGCAGGAACAGACTGAGCTGGGGCTTTGTTTCTTTTATACACACTTCTCCACAAGGTTACCACCCATGTGGACCTTGTGAAATACAGGACACAAAGTTGCAACAGCCAATCAACAACGTACAGTCAGACACTCCCAGCTTATGCACACAAACCCTCCCCACTGCCTGTGATAGAATTACTTCAACACAATGGACAAATGTAATTACCACAGGCAGAAAAATATACTTTTTACACATTTTCCATAACTTTAAAACCATACATCACATTCGCATAGAACCTGCATAATTATGGGAACAACATATCCAAAATTAATTCGAATCCGTTCAGCCATTCAGGAGTTAGCTGGAAGTCCTTTTTGACCGACTGCATGCACAATTTCATGCCCAAAACAGTTCCACAGATTTGGGCTGTGCGACCGGTCTATTCATTCCAGTTCAAATATCATTCGAATGCATGAACGGGTGCCGTTGGTGCAAATAGCAATGTTAATGTGGCGTTCGAATTATCGAACTCCATTCAACTCCATTCGAAGTATACGAGTTCCAAAAGAAGGTAAAACTTCAGGGGTGTTCGTATCCAATTTTAGTTCCATGAACGCGATGGCATGAACACCGCTGAAGTTTTACCTTCTTTTGGAACTCGTATACTTCGAATGGAGTTGAACTGCGTTCGACAATTCAAACGCCAAATTAACATTGCTATTTGCACCAACGGCACCCGTTCATGCATTCGAATGATATTTGAACTGGAATGAATAGACCGGTCGCACAGCCCAAATCTGTGGAACTGTTTTGGGTATGAAAGTGTGCGTGCAGTCGGTCAAAAAGGACCTCCAGCTAACTCCTGAACGGCTTAACGGATTCGAATGAATTTTGGATATGTTGTTCCCATAATTATGCAGGTTCTATAAATGTACGTTTTATGCGAATGTGATGTATAGTTTTAAAGTTATGAAAAATTTGTAAAAAGTATATTTTTCTGCCTGTGGTAATTACGTTTGTGCACAGCTGGCCGCGTTCTGCTGAATTAAAATGGCCGCCGCCACGTGTTCGTTTGTCAAATGGCAGCTACTTCGGCTGCATCCGAAGTGCAAATCCTTTCCCCAGAATATTTAAAGGGGCAGAACGAGGGTATAAAAATCCCATAAGCCCAAATTGGGTTTTTAAACGGCAATGCTCCCAGGGGCCATAGTCACATGGCAAACAGGCCCCTGCAAAAACTGTGGCGAGGTCACTTTCGCCACAATGACTGTCCAGAGCTGAGGGAAAGATAAGTGCAGCATAATATAGAATATCCTTAATAAAAACTTGATCTAGAGCATTCAGGACTTCACACTGAAGTGTCAAATTACACCAGGACAATTGTTGTTGTTATTATTATTATTATTATGATGATATTTATAGAGTGCCGTCAAATTCCGCAGCGCTTTACAATGGGTGGACGAACAGACATGTAGTTGTAACCAGACAATGACCCTACTAAGCACACAGCCAAGACCACAAAAGAGTGGTTTGGGGACTGAACCTTGGTTAGCCCAATCAGAGCCTGGATCTCAAGAAACGACCCAAATTCAAATGTTGTTTGCATCGTGCTCAGAAAGGCATGCGATTGTAATAGCTGTAAAAGCTGCTTCAACTAAGTACCAAGTTGTGTTTCAATTCTTAATATCATTGAGACATTTCAGATTTTTTTTTTTTGTCACTGTGGGGTATTGAGTGTAGATTGGTGAAAACAAAAATAAAACAATTGTAGCTGCAACATATATTATTAACCCCTTCAGGGCAGAGTCAATTGTACACGTTCTGATCAAAACAAAATGTAAACAAAAACTTGAATTTGCGCTAAATGTCTGTTAAACCATAATTCACCTCTTTCATATTGCACCTACACTTATTATATATAACTTTGTTCAGGAGAAACAGGGCTTTGATATATCATGAACTATTCATATATGAAATACAATTTATTATGAATAAAATAATAAAAGTTAGAAATTAAGATTTTTTTTTTTTTATTGTAGTTTCTGTCTAACATTTTAGCTATAGTCAAATATAGCACATTCCATTTTTTTCACATACAAATTTGCCAGACTAGTAATGTTACCTTTGAGACCGTGTGGTAGCCCAGGAATGAGAATTACCCCCATGATGGCATACCAGGATGGCATACCATTTGCAAAAGTACACAATCCAAGGTATTGCAAGTGGGCTATGTCCAGTCTTTTTTAGTAGCCACTTAGTCACAAACACTGGCCAAAGTTAGCGTTCATTTTTGTTTTTGTGTGAAAAAAAGCAAAAAACTAATATTTGGCCAGTGTTTGTGACTAAGTGGCTACTAAGAAAGACTGGACATACCCCATTTGCAATACCTTGGATTGTCTACTTTTGCAAATGGTATGCCATCATAGGGGTAATTCTCATTCCTGGGCTACCGTATGGTTTCAAAGGCAACATTACCAAACTGGCAAATTTCAGTGTGGAAAAAAATGAAATGCAAGCATTATATTTGACTCTCTAACTTTCCAAAACACCATAAAACCTGTACATGGGGGGTACTGTTATACTTAGGAGACTTCACTGAACACAAACATAAATGTTTCAAAACAGTAAAACATATTACAACAAGAATATAGTCAGTAAAAGTGCCGTTCATGTGTGAAAAATGCAAAACAACTTCACTTTTACTGAAAATATAATCGTTGTTATACAATTTATCATTTTGAAACACTAATATTTGTGTTTAGCGAAGGCTCCCGAGTAAAACAGTACCCCCCATGTACAGGTTTTATGGTGTCTTGGAAAGTTAAAGGGTTAAATATAGTGCTTGCGAATTAAATTCTCTGCACTTTCTGCCTGGGTTGTCAGGCACGTCAATCAAATTTTAATTAATTAAATCACATAATTATGTTAAAAGATTACTTAAATATACATGTAGAATTTAATATATATATATATATATATATATATATATATATATATATATATATATATGTGTATTTAATTTTCACGTGTATACTTATGTAAGCATTTATGTAATTTTATATATATATATATATGTGTGTGTGTGTGTGTGTGTGTATATATATATATATATATATATATATTTTGTAATTTAAAAGAAATAAAATATTTTTTTATCTTTTATTTTTTTTCTCTCACCATAAACTGAAATATAGTAATATGAGTGGAATAATAGAAGGTGGTTCGGATCCAATGTACAGATGTTATTCATGTCCTAGAAGAAAAAAAGGAGAAAGCGTGGAAGCTCAGAGAACACTCAAAAATGGGGTTAACCCACAATAAACTACCAAGGTAGTGAACAGAAAAAGAAAAGAGACTTAGAGTGCTCTAAATGAAATAAATTTAAAAATTAGCTTTTATTCGTATAAATGTAAAAAGAAGGAGAAAGGGGAGAGAAAACAAGGTACTAAATATGCTGGTGTATATCTGATATCCAAGAGTCCTGAATATATACACCAATATATATTACTGAATGGTTAAAGGACAAAAGAGCTGATTGGGTACGCGGTACAGCAACTAAACCGCTACAAATCACAATAAAATTGAAATTCAATAATGCACATAATGTATAGGCAACTCTAATGTGTCAAATGTGAAAATGAACAGCATATATTACTGAAGCGCTGGTAGAAATATGTCAGCTAAATACATAGTGCGCCGACGGTATCAGGGGTAGATAGAATACTAATATCGAAATGCTGATCCCCGTGAGTCTGCGCCAGCCCAATATCACAAAATTGACACACGAGTGGCGTACATTACAAAAAAAAAAAAAAAAAGGGAATTGATATTGCTACACAGAGGACCTGTTCAAAAGTTTTCAGGTTTCCTCTGATGTATGTCCCTTGCAACAAAACAGAGTTGCAATTGAGACCAAATCATAATAACTAGTAGACACAATATGGTAATTGGAATAAATAATTGTAACTAATAATACAAATAATTGTAACTAATAATAAACATAAATAGTGGAGCCTAAATAATTAAAATGACTCACAAAAACTGTTAGAGACAATGAAAGCAGACTGGAAGGAGGCTAAAAAGTGATGATAGAATGTCAAGTGAGAATGAGTCATAGTTAATGCTCTCCTAAATTGGTCACATAAGTCTGCTCCAGTCCTAACAGGAATAATACTCGGGATTCATGTAGGATTGTGGTGATGTCGATTAAAAGACCACACAGTGAGTTGTTACAATGAATCACCGATGTCCCCTGACGCACGCGTTTCGCCCACAACTCATCAGAGGGGAGCTGATGTGTGGTAAGTATCAGCTATTTAAAGGTCCTGGATGAAGCTGATAGGGGGAATTTGAAAAAGACCGCTGGTTCAGTTTGACCAATGAAGATTGCCGGTAAGTGTGACGATAGCCAGTGATGTGTGTATGATTGATTAACCCTGTCAGGTAGGTTGTACCAGGGTACAGGGAAGATAGTTGATAAAGGGGAATGAGTTTAAAGATATAAGATAACCTAGAGAAATAAAGGATAGTTCTAACTTTATGTACATGCCAATAAAAATATGACCGATAATGTGAGAGTAGTTATTAACACTGTCCGATAATTATGGCAGTATATGAGAGCGAACAATATTGGTATTCAGAGGGAAATGGAAAACCAATACTGCCCTAGACAAATTGGACAAACTGGACCAATATAGGTGGAAAAAATAAGAATATAAAAGAAATATCAAATATGGCACCCTATACAGGTCCGGCTGTATGTTGGAATACAAGGAGACTAACTAGATAGGTTCCCGAAATGGTTAATAAGTTTCCATAGCAATATACAGGAGGGATTTCTAAGATGTAACACTAGGTCCAAAATCAGAGTATACATAACAAAAATAGAGGACGAGAAAGCACCTAAATGGTTAAGAAGAACAGAAAAAAATAAATAAATAAAAATGGAATAGAAGTAGAATAGTGTACAGGATTACCAGGTAAAAGGATCAGAAACTTAAATGACACTTGAGAAGAAAACTATAATAGAATTTACTATAAATACTAATAAACCTCTAGGGTACCTAAATAGGGTCATGAAAGAATATGCAAAAACATATTTTTAAATTTTTAAGGCAATGTACAATGACACGTTAAGATTCGATAACCGCAATTGGGGCGCTCTGTGAATATGTGAGCGTCGATGCGGATATCAAATGAATGAGTCCGCTAAGGACTAAATAGGGAGAATTAACCATAGGAGTTAAGAGATGTAAAATGCTGAGGAAATACTTAGATAGAGAGAGCCAATGAAAATGGAACCGGGCGAGAGTGGTTATGAACTCGCTCAATAATGTAAGGAGATTAAAAACTAATATTAACAAAATTATACTGAAAAAACAAAATATAAATAACTTGATGAAAGAAGACACCTATACGAGGGAAACTGAGCCCTAAGAGGATAATACATTGTCCACAAAAGTTGATAATAATCACGGGATAAGGAAGGTGTGAAGATACTATAAGGATATTACCAAATCTGGCCTAGCAGGTGGAAAAGGTCTAAAGAAGTGCCAGAAATGACCGGTAATGGTTCTTGAAACGAACGAAAGGCAAGTTTAACCCACCCATAACATAAAAGGTAACTGAAATTCAAGCTAAGTAGTGTGTCTATAGTCAAAGATTCTAGATGGTATGTGTGCCCCGAGAGAATGAGTTCAGTTACGCAAACCCTAATGTGAATGGATAAAAGGGGTATAGTTGAATTCTTCATTTAGACCGCCAGGGGCAAGACTTTTAAATTCGTAGATCCACCTGGACTCTTTCTGGAGGAGTATAAGGTTGAAGTTACCTTTTCTAGAGTTCAAATTAACTCTCTCCAAGGCCTGAAAGGATAGATGGTTCGGATTTCCATCATGAAAATTCCGTATGTGGTTGGCCACAGGAGTACTAAGATGTGGATTTCTTACTGAGTTCACATGTTGCAGGGTGCATCTCCTTAGTTCTTGATAGGTTTTCCCGATGTATTGCATGCCGCAAGAGCATGTAATTACATATATGACGCGTGTAGTACTGCAATTTATGAACTGGTTAATTTTGAATTCTTTTTGGGTGTTAGTACATTGGATCATTTTAGACTGTTTTATGTAAGGACATGCCTTACAATGTCCACATTTATGAATTCCTGCCGGTGCAGTAAGCCAGTTTACAGAGGGTGTTTTTCTCTCAAAGTGACTATGTACCAAAAAGTCACTGAGGTTTTTGGACCTGCGTGCTGTGATGTTGGGGTATGCAATTGCTTGTGGTTTTAAATCCGTGTCATATTGTAAAATTGGCCAATGCTGGGTAAATATTTCCTTGATAGGTTGCCACTGTCTATCAAAAGTCCCAATACATCTAATCAATTGATTAGGTGGGGTAACCTTGCTTGAGTGAAGACTAGAACTTCTGTCTTGGGACAAGGCTCTCTGAAACGCTTTTTTTAGAATCTTATTGGGATACCCTCTATTTTTGAAGCGTGTCCTTTGCTTGTCCGCTTCGGCTTTAAAGGACATTTCGTTAGAACAGTTCCTCCTAGCTCGGAGGTACTGTCCATAAGGGATTCCCGCTTTAAGACGATAGGGGTGGAAACTGCGCCAATCTAGGAGACTGTTTGATGCAGTGCTTTTCCTATGCAGTTCGGTATCTACTGTACCGTCCATGTTTAGTAAAATTTTCAGATCTAAAAATTCTAATTGCGTTTCGTGGATAACATGTGTCAATTGTAATCCAATCTGGTTGTTATTGAGAGCCTTTACCATGTCAGTGAAGTTAGAGCAGGAACCAGTCCAAAAGATTAAAATGTCGTCGATGTATCTCAACCATTTATGTACATATTGACGAAACTGGTTAGTTTCTGTGTCTATAAAAAGGTTTTCTTCCCACCAACCCAAGTACAAATTTGCGTAGCTAGGGGCACAAGCAGTGCCCATAGCCGTACCACGAAGTTGTAAATAATATAACCCGTCAAACACAAAATAGTTGTGTGTTAAAACAAACTCCAGAAGTGTTAGAATAAGTTCAATTTGTGCAGGGTTGTACTTGGTGGATCTCTGTAGAAAATAGGAGGTGGCCTGTAAGCCCTTATCATGGGGGATGTTGTTGTACAGTGAAACCACATCCAGACTTGCCAGAAGTGAATAAGGGGGAACCTCTAGATTTTCCAATACCAACAAGGTCTGTTTAGTGTCTTGTACATAAGAGTTAAGATTGATGACAAATGGATGAAGAAGTTGTTCTAGAAATGTGCTGGTTCTTTCAGTCAAAGAGTTGTTACTAGATACAATAGGTCTCCCTGGTGGATTTGTTAGAGATTTGTGAACTTTAGGAAGACAGTAGAATGTGGAAATTGTAGGGTTGTTAGTTGGAATCATGAATTGGTATTCCTCCTTTTTGATTAGTTCATCCCCCAAAGCTTGAGTTAGCAGAGCTTTTAATTCAGTAAGAAAGGTAGTTGTAGGATCTTTGGAGAGTATTCGATATTGAGTAGTATCTTTAAGGTGTTCCATACACATATTAATGTCATTCTCCTGGTTCATAAGTACGATGTTCCCTCCTTTGTCCGAGCGTTTTATGACTATATCTTTATTTCTACTGAGATCTCTAAGTGCTGCACGTTCAGCTTTAGTTAAATTGTCTGTATCATTTGTAGGGGGAGGAAGGGCATCCAATGCTTTGGTAGTCATCTGTACAAAGAGGTCGACACTAGTTACCTCTTTGAAATTAGGGGTATACCAAGAGGGAGGTTTACAAGTAGTTAAAGATGTTTTGTAATTCTGTTCATCCAGGAGAGATACCATTGTTTGAACAAGTTGGTAGTCCTCCTGGGTGATACCTAATTCTCTGGCACGTTTATTCTCCTGTCTTTGGTGAGTAATACTTAGGGCGAGTTTACGCCCAAAGAGATTGGTATCTTTTGCCCAATCGAACTTGTTGATAGTGGGGGAGGGGACAAACGATAGACCCTTACTCAGGAGAGACTTGTGATTATTGGTAAGTTGAAAGGTAGATAGGTTGATGATGAGATTCTCATCATTGCTGTGATGATTTATTGATTTTTGTACCCTTCCTTGCTGGTCTTGTACCCCCATCTTTTTCTCTCCCTGAGTCTGCCTCTCTGGGGTAGAGGCCACTCCTGTTCTAAAAAAGAGGAGGAAGAAGAAAAGGTTTCGGGTTGTGAAGAAGTACATGGAGTTGGAACGTTGGTTTTAATATTTGAAGGGGTATGATTTCGTGAATCTGGAAATGATACGTTTTTCTCTGCTTGTTTTAATATACCTTTTCTTTGTGTGAAATTTCTATTTCTGACAGGATATCTGTCCTTCTTTTCTGAACTTTGGTCTTTTCTGAACTTTATTCATGTCCTATGATCGATTTTTCAGACTTCTCTATTTTCTTCACCCCTAAATTGCTTACCAGATGGGAAGGAGTACTAATTTTTATATGGGGGTTCTGCAATCCCTCCCTCACTGGGTTCATTCTGTTCTGCGGTGGCCACAGGTCTAAGCACAGATCCACTTGAGGTAGAGTCTTTGTGCTTTGGTAGCCATTTGCAGATCTTCTACCGATGATTCCAAGTAGAGGCAATGGTGGAAAGGTTATGTTGAATGTATGGAAGTTTGTATGTATGAGGATGGTCCCAAGCAGGGAATTATTTAGATTATTATATATAACCTGGTTTTCATGAATAAAAAACAAACAAGCAATATAGGTGCTAAAATTATGAATATATAAGTGCAAGTGTTAAAAATAAAAGTAGAGCAGCACCTAAAAGTGCACAAGCTCAAAAACACCATACAAAGGATATAAAACAAAAAGGTGTGCTGTACCTTTAAAAATTTAAAGTGCAACAAGTGCAAAAAAATTCGTGCAATAAGAAGTGTCTATTCCATAAAATCACACTCAATATAACGAATGTGCAAAATTGCAAGTGAATAGTGATAAACATACAAATAGTAACTTACAGCAGGAAAATATGTCTAAATATAAACTGCATTTGGTAATTCCAAAGTAGGAGATATGATACATAAAAAAGAAAAAAACACATAGCATAATACTGTTTAAAATTGTATAAAACAACCAAGAGAAATTGAATAAAACTCACAAGGAAAGAGCAGTAAAAGTCTGCTCTAACTTTTCCAGCATGTAATCCACAGCATAGGGCTTTGATGGTAGTAAAAACAGCAGGACGCCAGCTGAATAAAACGATCTTTATTTCTTCCAATAAAAAAACTCCCTTTACCACATAGAAGACCAGTGTCCCATTCAATGCTTTGAAGAGATGAACACGCCAAAATTTGCGGTCTCTGCAGCTTGCGGCACTATACAAGTTACTTCCGGGGGTCTCAGATTCTCCAAACCCCACTTTTTTTTTTTGTTTCCACTCCACCACTCCTCCGGATATGTCCACTGGTGCCAGGATCCAGCAGATGAAATAATGCCAGGAAAGTGGGGATATTTTATAACTTTAATGACATAGGAAATAAAACAGGGATATAAAGTGCATAAGAGTAGAAAACATCGATAGCAGCACTGACGCGTTTCGACTATTGAAGTCTTTTTCAAAGTGCCTTTCCTTGTGAGTTTTATTCTATTTCTCTTGGTTGTTTTATACAATTTTAAACAGTATTATGCTATGTGTTTTTTTTCTTTTTTATGTATCATATCTCCTACTTTGGAATTACCAAATGCAATTTATATTGAGACATATTTTCCTGCTGTAAGTTACTATTTGTATTTTTATCACTATTCACTTGGTTTTCATGAATGTCAGGGGACTGAATTCTCCTGTATGGTCTTTTGGAAGAAAATAATATCGGTAGGGGTGTATCAGCAGGGCCCCAGTCGGGCGCTGTCGCCCCTTAACATTGCGACCAGGCCCCTTGCTTTTCCGGCAGCTGGCTGGAAGGAAGTGACTTCCTTTTATAAAGTCACTTCCTTTTATAAAGAGGAAGGTTGCACGGAAGCTGTCAGGAGTCGCTGTGAGGAAGGGAGGAAGAGGCTGCAGTGAGGATAGAGGCTCCTCCCTCCCATCAGCCTCAGTCACCACCACACTTGGACCCCAGGGAAGTCACCCTCCAGCAAAAGGTAGAAAGCTTTAGGGTGGGTTTAAAAATGTACATTTTACATGTGTGTAAGTATGTCTGTCTGTGCGTGTGTGTGTCTGTCAGTGTATGTGCCTGTGCGTGTCTGTATGTCTGTCAGTGTGTGTGTCAGTTTGTGTGTGCCTTTGTTTCTGTATGTTGTCAGTGTATGTGCCTGTGTATCTGCTTGTGTGTCAGTTTGTGTGTGCCTGTGATTCTCAGCACCAACTTTAAATACAAATACACCCCTCCATTCAAACTTCAACAGTACATACAAACATACTCCTGCATTGAAACTTCAACCTCTGTGTTAAACACCAAAATTATATATAAACACACCGTTATATCAGGGCCGGACTGGCCCACCGGGATACCGGGAAATTTCTCAGTCTCAGTAAGCGGCGTGCTGGGGCAGGGGAGCAGAGACAGAACAGCCAGCTCCCCCTGCGGCTGCCAAAAGAGCTCCCTCTGCAGCCGCCAGAAGGGCCAGCTCCCCCATGTGGCCGCCATCAGAGCTCCCCATGTGGCCACCATCAGAGCTCCCCATGCGGCCACCAGCACACAGGTAGCAATTATGTGTGTCAGTGTGAGTGTTTGTCTGTGTCATTTGTTTGTGTATGTCTGTCTGTGTCATGGTGTGTGTGTGTATGTCTGTCTGTGTCATGGTGTGTGTGTATGTCTGTGCCATGGTGTGTATATGTCTGTCTGTGCCATGGTGTGTCTGTGTCTGTCTGTGTCATTGTGTGTGTCTGTGTCTGTCATGGTGTGTCTCTCTGTGTCGTGTGTGTCTGTGTCATGCAATGTGTGTCTGTGTCATGGTGTGTGTGTCTGTGTCACGGTCTGTCTGTGTCATGCAATGTGTGTCTGTCATGGTATTTGACTGTGTGTGTGTTTTTACTCACCTTTTTTTTTTTTCATGTCGTGCTGGTCTCCCCTCGACTGGCCCTGCCTCTATGGCTGAGATCATCAAACTTGATGATCTCAGCCAATTCGCACTGACACAGGAAGCACCTCTAGTGACCATCTGAGTGTCTGTCACTAGGAAGCAATGTAAACACTGCCTTTTCTCTAAAAAGTCAGTGTTTACATTGAAAAGCCTGCAGGGACAGGCTATAGACACCAGAGCCACTACATTAAGCTGTGTGTGTGTGCGCGCGCGCCTACTAGTGAGTGGGCTTGCGTGTGTGTGTGCCTGCTACTGAGTGAGCTTGTGTTTTTATGTCAATTACCTTATGTATATCAGTGAGATTGTTTGTCTATGAGGCTGTGTATCAATCAGCTTGTGTCAGTGAGAATGTCTGTGTCTGCATGTGAATATGCTTACTGTATAATTAAAAATTTTACTCTGAAAGGACCAATATTTTATATTGGAAAAAGCTCTCTCTCTCTCTCTCTCTCTCTCTCTCTCTCTCTCTCTCTCTCTCTCTCTCTCTCTCTCTCTCTCTCTCTCTCTCTCTCTCTCTCTCTCTCTCTCTCTCTCTCTCTCTCTCTCTCTCTCTCTATATATATATATATATATATATATATATATATATATATATATATATATATATATATATATATATATATATTGCTTTTTCCAATATAAAATATTGGTCCTTTCAGAGTAAAATTTTTAATTATACAGTAAGCATATTCACATGCAGACACAGACATTCTCACTGACACAAGCTGATTGATACACAGCCTCATAGACATACACATATATAATCATCTAGGGTGGCAAGACATAGCCTTACATATTACATGCGACAATATATGGCGCAATGACTTATGGGGCTGGCATAGTTTTTTTTTTGTTTTTTTTTTCAGGGCTGCTTTGGAATCCCCAGTCCTGCCCTGCCTTACATTCAAAAACAAACATTACACATAAATGCACACTTGCATTCAAACTCCAATACCACATACAAACTCATTCACACAAACATTCTCCATACAAACACATGCTTACATTTAAACACACAAACACTGCTCAGTGCTAAATACAACCCTGCAAACGTGGGAAATTGGTAGAGCCCCAGCTGTTAAAGCATTGTTGAAGTTGCATGACAGATGGGGCTCTACCTTTAGTTCAACCTTGCAATTAGGGGTCCCAATAAAATTATTTCTACTTTAGTACTGCCACTGCGTTGGGATGGATACTGTGATTGCATGCCAGGGAGTGGGGGGAAGTGGGGAGCAGGATCCAGGGGGCCCAAGGTCCAATCATTATTAAAGACGGCCCTGATTCTAAATATCCCTTTATTTTTGCTCCAAATATGGAAGTTAGTGTCTATGATTTTACCAAAGAGAATTAAATTTGAGCAAATATTTATAGAAAAAGATGATAAAGGTTGATATTTAATCTTAATAGCAAAAATTTTGGAAATTCTTTTTACAATTGTCGACTTGTAGGCCATAAATCAAACTCCAATAACTTGAATAATCTCATTGTTTGAATTTATGAATTGGCAGCAGGTAGAATAATAATAGGAGGGGACTTTAACTGCATAATTGACCATAAATCTGATAGAAATAATGTAAAAAAATAATTTATATGACTCTTGGAGAGTAAATAATCCAGGGGAACATGACTATTCTTATTTCTCTCAAGTACATCAAACGTACTCAAATCGATTACTTTTTGTTGAAATCTAATACATTGTATCTAGTAATAAAAACTATGTAGAGAAAATAATCAGTGTGGATCAACAGTGACAGACCATAAATAGGTTATGTCTCAGTGGTCCAAACTGTCAGGATACTAGTTTGATCCAGCATGTATAATTATGTCACACCTAGGATTAAAGGTAACGTCTTGCCGGGTCTTACAGTGGCTGGACTTAACGTACAAGAGAATAGTCAGAATACTTGCCAAGGTCAGGGTCACAGAAGGAGACACAACGATGAGGGAAAGCCAAAAGTCAGGGATACCAAAAAAAATGTATATAGCAATATGTTAAGACGATAAAATGAAACCAAAAAGGGTCCTAAGTGTACTGAATAGATACAAGCTGCAAATAACCAAACACCAAATGCATGAATAAAAATATATTATACAACCTGAAAAAACAATACAACGTATTCTATAAAGTAAATAAAAATACATATGGTGTAGTAAGGGTTAAATATCAGGGTGAGGGTGGTAGAAAACTCACTATATCGATGTATATTCAGGCATTTCTCCCATAAATAGGGTCAGGGAAATAGATGGAATATCTTCAAGCACGGTCTTCTTAGTGGCTCAGAGTAACAGAGAGAAGAAAAAATATATAGTGCAGATGGTATTAAAATATAACACATTTATTGCACAATATTGCACTTACAGGATATCAGATAAAACAAGGCATATCTCCACAACCAGCGTGGTGCCCGGACTTAAAAAGATAGCAGCAAGCTCCAGAGTTTCCACATGCAGGGTGGCAAATATACAGTAAAATGTATAAATAAAATACAAATTAAAGAAAGTATACACAAGTCCTACACGTTTCGTCCGTTAGGACTTCCTCAGGGATCGATGTAGATGCTACAGGAGAGTCTTCTTATATATTGGTGGCCTTGAAGATTAATGCTCGGCAGCTGGACCGGCGTTTGCTTCATCGTGGATCTTTACTTCTGGGTTTGACGACATTCCGTGTGCGTCTATGACTTCTTTAGTCGTGGCATGCGTTCCACCTTGGAACACATAAGTCTTCCAGGTGGTGGTTTGCAACGGGCAGCAGACTGTAACCAAATTCAAACCTCAAACTCTGTTTGGTATGTACACACACAATGTGGGATATAGAGAAGGCTGTGCATAATGACAAATCACAATATGAATCAAAAAAGAACAAAAAATATAACCAAAATGTAGGGTTTAATAAAAGTGTATATGATATATCTAAAAAATATACATATCAAATAAAGCCAAAAATTACGTAATAAAAAAGGTAAATAAAATATATATGAAAATATATATAATAAAAATGAAAATACTATTAATAATAATGAAAATAAAAAATTATAAAAATAAAAGTGAAAAAAGCTCAAAAATAAATAAAAATGAAAAAGATAAAAATATAAATTTAAATATAAATAATAATAATAATGAAAATTATAAAAATAAAGAATGAATGATAAAAAAAAATTAGATACAAAAAATATATATATATCCTTATAGAGCCATGATGCTGAGTCTTGTACAAAAACTAAATACACTTGTATTCCAAGATACAATAGAAGAGCAGAGATACATTGAATAAAAAAAACCATAATAGTTAAAAAGAAAAAACTGAGAATAATAATAATAATGAAAAATTAGATCTTGGCGAATAAAGAAAAAGTTAGATGAGACCCGTGAGATTTATCTCCTTATTTAATCCTGATTTTAAGGTCTTTAAATTATAGATCCATTGTGCCTCTTTCATATTTAGTGATAACTCGATATTTCCTACCCTCCAATGCTTCTCCACCTTGTCTATCCCAATTGCTAAAAAAGTATCCCATTTGAAAAGTGGGCAATTAACAGTTTTAACGACCTAATCGCAGCTAAATCTAAAGGCCACTACTCCATACTAATTCTTCTTGAGCTCTCTGCTGCCTTTGACACCGCTGATCATGCTCTACTTCAAACTCTCCAATCACTTGGTCTCTGTGACTCTGTCCTTTCGTGGTTTTCCTCTTATCTCTCAGCGACCATCTTTAACTGCCGAACGCCCAGCGGGGTTTTGTCGTCGACGTCATGGTTCTGTTTTCAGTCACTATTATTCACGAACTCCGCTGGGATCTCCAGACCTTTGTCCATTCGTGCCTAAGCATAGTTTTATACTCTCAAATATAGACCGACCTTCTGCATGAACACTGTGGAACTAATTCTGGGTTGACGTTTGCCGAACGGCCCTGGAGACAAAGTTTTCCCTTATGGCGTTCCCACTATATTCGTGAGTTCTGAGAGCTTTTTGGACATCTTGTGCGCTCAGATCCAAGCTATCTGGGGATATGTTGGACATATAAGTTAAATATTGTATTATATAAGTTATGTATTTTTATGTGGTTTCTATTATATATTTAACTTTAGAATATGTCCTAAACCTGAAGATAATTAATTTACTTCAGCTACTTAAGCCAATTGTGACAGAACCATCTGCCTGCTTGTATTTTAGTTGCATTCGTCTGTTTGTATCCCGTTCGTATGAATGGCTGTTTTCTATAGCCCAGCCATTCGAATGACTTTTTTCCCGAACAAACCTGCCGAACGGACGGCCACCCAGGAGAGGAGTGTGCTGCTGGTTAACCTATTGATCCCAATTAGAACGTTGTGGTTAACCACAAACACTTCTCAATTAAACCGAATTCAGGGTGGTCGTCGTTCGTATGTCGACCACGAGGCAGCGGCCATTTTAAACCACGCGAAAGCCCAGCGGTGTTTAGCTCTATTTCTATGGAACTAAAAACGGACACTTTTTCTGCCAAACACCGCTGAAACAACGGAACGCCTGGCTGTCTCCACGAAAGCATACGAATACCGGCCGTTCGGGAGGTTTGGAGCATACGAAAAGACTTAATCCAGAGAGCCTTCCCATGGAGTCATTCGTATACCGAAAGACTGTAAGAACTCCATGGCGATTGAACTATGTGTGTGGGATCTGAGCGCTATTCGCTAATAATATGCACTCAGATCCAGGCTATCTGGGGATATGTGATACGAATGGGAAACGTTCGGGTATTTGAAAGTTATGTATTTTTATGTCTTTTGTGATGTTATATTTAAAATGGCGACTGGCTTCGTCCTGGAGATAATTGAGTTACTCAGTAATTATCTCCAGGGCAGAGGGGAGGGAATCGTAATGCACTGTGGGTAAAATCTGTAACTGTGTGTCTGGAATGTCCCCATATCTGTCTGTCATTTAAGTCTCCCATTTGGTCCCCTAGGGGAGTGTCCACCAAGTGGGAGACCTGCATAAATACGGGCAGGTAGCCCACAGTAAAGCCAGATCCTGTTTGACCCTCAATGTGGAGTTTCTGTCTCGTTATTGGGGGGATTTCTTCTTCACGTTTAGAGACTGCTGGATGGAACCGAAAGCCGCTTGGTGGATATTGTTGTTCGGTGGCTAGCAGCAGTTCGTGTATTGCCGTTCGGGAGTTTGGAGCCGTTCACGGATCCCGGTCGGGAGATTGCCGCTTCCACTGCATTTGGTTCGTGTACTACAGGTTAGGTGAACGGAGTTACTGTTACTGCAGACGGGGAAGGTCGACTAAACGGCTGTTTTGCCTAAAGACACTGGGGGTGTCTTAACACCAATTATCTCCAGGATAGAAGGGAGGTTTCAGAAAGATGCACTTTGCCCTTATTGGTTTATGTCCCTTGTATCACGGTGTTCCATCAGGTCCAGAGGGGTGTGCCCCTGGCCTGAAAATGTTATATAAGCAATGCCTTTCTGCACAATAAACCAGACTTCTTACCCTCAACTCGCAGCCTCGACTCGTGTTGTTGGGAAATGCTGATCACTAGCTCTGCTCAGAGCTCCAGGAATACACTTGCAGGAATATCGTTAGGTGCTGGATCGGGGACAAGGGCATCCAAGCGGCCCAACCTTCAGCTAGCCTGGGGCAACCGTAACACTCATCCTTCTGCAAAATGTGCCAATGTTTGTTTAAAACTCTTTCGATTTTTTTTTTGGCCTGTATATTGTACGTAGTTATAAAAGCAAAGTTAAAACGGTTATTATCTGTCAGGATCGTATCCTGAGAGCTATGTTTTATCTCCTTGGGCAGACTAGATGGGCCGAATGGTTCTTATCTGCTGTCACATTCTATGTTTCTATGTTTCCTTTTGTCTCTGTTCCTTTAAAAAGAAGATCCAGCTTTCAACCACTAGTGGCCTCACTAGTCACCTCAGTCTTCCGCTGCCTAGGACAAATTACTTGCTTCAGCTACATAAGGCTACACCCTGCTCACAACAGGGCATTTACATTGAAGTTGGTGATCTACCTGAAAGACTTCAGTTCCTGGCTCCTGTGAACTGTACCTTCTACCCTGCTCCATACCAACCTGCTCCAGACTTACCTTCTACCCTGCTCCATACCAACCTGCTCCAGACTTGCCTTCAAACCTGCTTTACTCTCACGTATGATTTTGACCTCTGCCTCGGTTAACAGCCTTCCTGTGTGCAATGGCTACCCAGGTAGAAGGAGGGTATCAGCCGTTGGAGACATCCTTTTCTTCCCAGCAAGGTGCTGTGTAGTAGTGGAGTTGCTTATTCCCATCCACTGGATCCAAGGCAGGAGTCAGGCAGAGCTCTTAAAAGAGCTAAGTGATTAAGCTGCATATCCCCTTTCAATAACGAGACAAGGCTACGTTTTGAAGGGTCAAGAAGAACTGAATTTTAACGGCAGGTACTCTCCTTTTATGTGATTCTGCCCATGCAAGGGAGACACCCACATAATTAACAAAACAACCAATACAACATAAGGTACATCCCACACATCTCCTCCCCTCATATAAGCCTGTAACCCAATTAACACAGTTAAATTTTTCCCCAAGTTTTGGGTGTACCCCAAATACCTGGGGTACATGCATAAACCTGGTGTCCCCATAGCCCTATTATGGGAGACCAGCATTTGTAAAAATCAGCTCATTCTGTTCAGTGGTTCGGGAGATATGGGACTTTAACGTTTTGACCGACCGCACAGGCAAAATAGCCGAAAATAGTTCCATGAGTTTTGGCCTTGCGGTCTGTGATGAGAGCAATCTCGCCACATTGCATTGGAGAAGCCTGGTTGCTCACCTGTTGCCTTTAGACTATGGCCCCATGTTAAAAGACTTTGTTTCCCCTGCAGAAAATACTTATTCGTGCTTTTCTGCCCGGTGTTCGGTAGATTGTCTACCGAACAACCGCACGAATGACTAGACCACCTGGGAGCTGGAGTGTGCCGGCAATTAGCCTCCCTGAAGCTGCGGTTAACCGCAGCTTAATTGACGAATGCTGGGTGGCCGCCATTCGTATCACGAACACGAGGTTGCGGCCATTTTAAACACGCGAACGCACAGCGGTGTTCGACACTTAATTCATGGAACTAAAAACGGACACCATTTTGCGAGAACACCGCTGAAGCTGCTGACCTCCCTTCTTGTTCGGTGAAAGTGCACGAATGGCCCGGTGTTCGGTAGTTTTACTTGACTATGTTATACCCCAGATAGGAATCCCATGGAGCCCATTCGCATGAGAACTGACTGTGTAAAGACTTTCGCTTCATGGCGATTACACTGTATTCGTGTGGTCTGAGCGCCATTCGCTTAATAATGTGCGCTCAGACCTGAGCTATCTGGGGACATGTTAAATGTATAGTTTTATTGTAACTTGTGTCATACTGTGTATTTTATTAGTAATTCCTGCTTTAGTATCCCCACGTGCATAATGGCTATTTGTCTTGGGAGATAATTGAATTACTTCTCAATTAACTCCAAGGCAGAGGGGAGGAAGCCAGGATGCATTGTGGGAATATAATGTGACTGTGTGTTCTATTTGTCTACTTGTCTGTCTCTTGTCACAGTCTCCCATTTGGTCCCCTAGGGGAGTGTCCACCAGGTGGGAGACCTGCATAAATACTGGGCAGGTAGCCCTCATTAAACCAGACCACTGCTTGACCCTCAACACAGAGCCTTGTCTCATCTTTGGGGGGATTTACTGAACGCTGATAGAGACTGATTGCTTGGTGTGTAAGCCGCTTGGATGCTTTTCCTATTCGTCTGCTAGCTGGTTCCAGTTCGTGTATTTGGAGTGCTATATTGTATGCCGTTCGGGAGTTTGGAGCATTCCCTTATTGGCGGTTCGTGAGTTTGGTGTTCTACTGTAGCTGTGCCTGCATCTCTCAAAGGGGAAGATCGCCTAAACGGTTTTTACCCCTTGTGTGCAAAACGGTCCGTTACATGGTTGGTCTTTGCTCGTGCGTTAAAAGTCCCGAAAGGCTTGCCATCCGTGTGTAACTTGATGTTCGCCAGAATCCCCATATGCTACTGAGTATTTTTACTGAACGGCAGGGTGTTCGGTAGTTTGGCACGAATTTCTGGTACTATGGAGGTCTCAGCGGTGTTCGCCTACTCGACAGGAAAAAGGGGGGAGGGGGAGATGCACAGACCAGCAACATTCAACATACCCTGCACAAATAATAGGCACAATGTGACAAAACACAAAAGGAATTTGGGAGCCCACCCATAATGTCTGTCTTCCATCCCCAGTGATAGTGACTACCGTCACAGCTATAGCGCAGGGACAAATTTCCTGTAATATCCCGCTGTCCCTAGGAAAGCCAGTACCTGGGTCTTGGTGTGAGGTGTGGGCCAGTTGGCCACGGCCTCGACCTTGGCTGGCTCCAGTCGCTTTTTCCCACATCCTACCCGGTGTCCCAAGTACTGGACTTCGGCCATGCCAAAGTGGCACTTTTCTGGCTTCAGAGTTAGGCCTGCTGCCCGAATCTGGTCCAGTACGGCCCCTACATGTTGCAAGTGTTCCCCCCCCAGGTCTCGCTATAGATCGCAATGTCATCCAGGTACGCACACGCAAAGTCCTGGAAGCCATCAAGGAGCCTACCCACCAAGCGTCAGAAGGCGGCTGGGGCATTCTTCATCCTGAATGGCATGACCTTGAATTGGTACAGGCCAAACGTGGTGACGAATGCTGACTTGGGGATGGCCTCCTTGGCCAGGGGGATCTGCCTGGGGGATGGCCTCCTTGGCCAGGGGGATCTGCACAAATCAATAGTGGTCAGATATCATCCCCTGGCAATGCGATCTAATAGTTCGTCCACTCGGGGCATTGGGTACGCATCTGTCACTGTACGGTCATTAAGGCGTCTATAGTCCACACAGAATCGGGTGGTTCCGTCCTTTTTGGGAACTAGAACAACTGGCGAGGCCCAGGGACTGTACGATGGTTCTATGACTCCTAGCCTAAGCATCTCCTGTATCTCCTTTCTCATTTCTTCCTTAACTGCCTCAGGGATTCGGTAGGGGGTCTGTCTAAGGGGGGTTTGTCCCGGAGTCTCTACGCAGTGGGTTGCTAACGTGGTGTACCCGGGTTCTTGGGAGAACGTTAATCCCTTTTCAGTTAACAACTGTCTGATCTGCCCCTTTTCTGCTGGATTTAAGCGCTCCCCTAGTTGGACAGTATTGAGCAAACTATTGGGCCCTGTGCGCTCTAGCAGATCTGGGATAGGTAGACTGTCGGAGTCCTCTGTAGCAGGAATACATATGGCCGCAATATCCTCTGGCCTCTCTTGGTATTCCTTCAGCAGATTAACATGGAAGGATTTCCGAATCCATTCATCCTTGTTACTGGCAATTGCATAGGTAGTGTCACAGACTTGCGCCACAACCTTGTAAGGGCCCTGCCAGGAGGTCTGGAGCTTATTCCCTTTCACTGGTCTAAGCACCAGAACCTTCTGTCCCACCTGGAATGTTCTCTGTCGGGCGCCCCGATCATACCATCGTTTCTGTCGACCCTGGGCCACATGGAGATGATCTCGTGCTAACTGCTCCATGTGGTCCCGCATCTCCAGAACATATGGCACAATGGGGACACCCTCATGTTCCATCTCTCCTTCCCAGTGCTCTCGGATGAGGTCGAGGGCGCCTCGAACTCTCCTTCCATACAGCAGCTCAAATGGGGAGAACCCAGTGGACTCCTGTGGTACCTCTCGATATGCAAACAAGAGGTGCGGCAGAAATCGCTCCCAGTCTCTGCATTCCGCTGTAAAAGTCCGCAGTAACTGTTTCAGGGTACCATTAAAGCGCTCACAGAGACCGTTAGTCTGGGGGTGGTAAGGTGAGCTGAGAAGGGTCTTAATATCGCAGACCTTCCATAACTGTTGGGTTAAGTCTGCGGTAAACTGAGTCCCTCTATCAGACAGTATGTCTTGTGGGAATCCTACTCTGATGAATATCCCGTGTCAGCCTGGATATTCGTCAGAGCGACGGCTTCCGGGTAGCGGGTAGCATAGTTGTCAGGTATAGCATGGCATGTAATACATCGCCGGAACCCACTTCCGGGTTCACGGCGCTCAGCCCCGCCCCTTTTTCTGACGCGGTCCCTCCACGATACTTAGGAGGACCGCGCCAGATTCAAAGGGCTGGATTATTCGCACAGGTGCTGCATGAAGATCAGCTGCTCTACTTTTGATCCTACCTGCTCCACTTCTATACCTCGGCTAGTAAACGGATTTCTACCTTCTCCACTTCTCGACCTCGGCTTGTAAACGGATTTCTACCTTCTCCACTCCTAGACCTCGGCTTGTAACTCTGAATTCTACCTTCTCCACTCCCAGACCTCGGCTTGTTAAAACGGACTTCCCCACTCTCCACTCCTAGTTCTCAGCTTGTTGAAACGGACTTCTAATTTCTCCTTCATTGGGTGAATTAACCCTTCCAGTGCCAGAACTGCCTTTAAGTTAAGTAATACTTTTACCAAACAAGTCAATTCCTATTATTTATATTACACAATATCTAAAACTCACTAAAGTGTCACTTTGTCTAATTATTCCTCTTATTCATAAGGGATTGCTACAAAGCCTAATTTTACCTTCATGGGTATTTAAAGGTACAGTGACCATTGTTTCATACCAATATAAAAGGAGGTGAAACTTATTGTTGTTGCAACCAAGAAATGCTGCAGTTGAGTTCCAATTAAAGAAATATTACAAAATAAGTATTACAGAATAATCCAGCCTTATTCAATGGAACCAGCAGATATTAACTCTCAAGTTTCTGCCCTAACCAATAGAGTGGATACGATTGCTCAAGGGTTACAGGAACTGCAAATTACAAATGAGAGAATATTAACCTATGTTAGAGACATTCAAGGTCATCTTCCTCATGCCGCTCTTCAATCGGCTGGTGATCCTGCTGTCTGTAATCCAGAAAAATTTTATGGAGATAGAACAAAGTACAGAGAGTTTTTGAATTCTTGCAAACTACTAATAGCTTTAAAACCTAGATCTTATCCCACCGAAAGATCCAAAGTCTGTTCAGTGATCTCTTTTTTAAGAGGTGAACCTATGGCCTGGGCCCATTCCTTTTTGGAAAATGATGATCCCATATTAGATTCATTGGATGAGTTCTTTGAAGCTATGTCTTTATTATATGAAGATCCTTTTAAACAAACTACTGCTGATTTAACCATCAGAACATTACACCAAAAGAATAGACCTGTTGAAGATTATATTGCAGAATTCAAAAGATGGGCTACAGAAACCCAATGGAATGACATTACTTTACGCAATCAATTCCGTCTCGGATTATCTGAAGCTGTGAAAGATGAACTCTCTCGTACAGAACTTCCTCCTACCTTAAATGCATTGATTCAACTGTCTATCAGTATTGATAGACGTCTAAGAGAAAGAAAAGCTGAAAGGGTTCTTACTAATTCTACCTGGAGAAAACCTTTCACTACTCTAAAACTACCTGAAAAAATTCCTCCACAAACTGAACCTATGGAAGTAGGTATAATAAAAAGTCCTCTTACTTCTGAAGAAAGAATAAGAAGGAGACAACTAAACTTATGTATGTATTGTGCTTCGAACGAACATCTAATTTCCGAATGTCCTCTACTGAAACATTCAAAAGGTGGTAAGCTTCATTCATCTACCTCTATATTGAACGTTTTTCAAAAAAGAAAAGCATCTACTTATTTTTCTATATCTCTCATATTACAGTGGGATACAAAAAGAATCGTGACTGAGGCCATCATTGATTCTGGTGCTAATGGAACTTTTCTTGATTTTTCTTTTGTTTCAAAAAATAAAATTCCTTGTGTTCAAAAAACCAATTTTATTCCAATCAGAGTTATTGACGGTTCATTTATATCCTCAGGACCCATCAAAGATGAAACAATCCCTCTAAGAATGATTACCAACAACGTACATTTCGAATTCATTACATTTGATATTATTAAATCTCCACTTTATCCCGTCATTCTAGGAATTAATTGGTTAAAAAACCATGATCCTTTAATTAAGTGGTCTCCCTTCTCCATCTCCTTTGCTTCTGATTTCTGTAAAAAAACGTGCTTACAACACATTCCTATTCTCCAAACTACTGTAGAACCAGTTATACCTCCATTCTACTCCGATTTTGCAGATGTCTTTTGTAAAAAAGAAGCGGAAACACTTCCTCCTCATCGGGTATATGATTGCCCAATAGATCTCATACCCGGAGCTCCTATTCCTTATGGTCATATTTATCCACTCTCTGAAAAGGAGTTAGAAATTTTAAAAGAATATCTTAATGAAAATTTACGCAAAGGGTTCATCAGACCCTCGACCTCTCCTGCTGCTTCTAGTATTTTCTTTGTGAAGAATAAAGACCAAACCATCCGTCCTATTATAGATTACAGAGCCTTAAATAAAATAACTATTAAAAATCGTTATCCTCTTCCACTAATAAATGAATTAATTGAAAGGTTAAGAACTGCAACTATATTCACTAAACTCGACCTTCGAGGCGCATATAACCTCATTAGAATAAAACAGGATGATGAATGGAAAACCGCCTTCCGGACAAGATATGGTCTCTACGAATATCTAGTGATGCCTTTCGGGCTCTGTAATGCCCCTGCAACATTTCAACATTTTATCAATGATATCTTTAGAGATCTTCTGGATGTATGTGTTATTATCTACTTAGATGATATCTTAATATATTCTAACAATTTGGATGAACATAGGAAGCATGTTAGATGGGTTCTATCTAGACTGAGAACTCATAAATTATACGCTAAACCAGAAAAATGCCTTTTTGAGGTTACTGAATTCTCTTTTCTAGGATACATTATTTCACCTCATTCTTTGAAGATGGATAATTCCAAAATCAAATGTATTATTGATTGGCCTGCTCCTACTACTACAAAAGAATTACAACGTTTTCTTGGATTTGCAAACTTCTATAGAAAATTTATTAGAAACTATTCGGATGTATCACATCCTCTTAACCTCCTCAACAGTAGTAAACGTCCTTTTAATTGGAATAAAGATGCACAAACAGCCTTCGACGAATTAAAAAAAAGATTTACAACTGCACCTATTCTACAACTACCTAATCCAACATTCCTATATGTTCTTGAAGTTGATGCATCAGATGCAGCCATCGGAGCAGTTCTTTCTCAACAAAAGACTCCACAAGATCCACTTCATCCAGTTGCCTTTTTTTCAAGATCCTTGAGCTCTGCTGAAAAAAATTATCCTATTGGTGAAAAAGAATTATTAAGTGTTAAAGCTGCCTTCGAAAATTGGCGTCATCTTCTGGAAGATACAAAACAACCTATAATAGTTTATACTGACCATAAAAATCTTGAATATCTCTATACTAACAAAACCCTTACAGCTAGACAAGTTAGATGGAACCTATTTTTTAACCGATTTAACTTCCAATTAATATACAGACCTGGAAATAGAAATAAAAAGGCTGACGCTCTTTCTCGAATTCCTTCTAAAACTACTACTGATGATTATCCTTCTACCAAAATAATAGGAATCCTCTCTTCTCTTCATGATGACATAAAGAATTTGAATCAGAAGGATCTTGAACTTCCCAAAACACCTATACTAACAAAAAAGGATGGTCTATTTTATTTTAAAAATAGAATTTATATTCCTCCCATTCTTAGGAATAAATTACTTAAGATGGTTCATGATTCCCCCCTAGCTGGACATCCTGGAATAAAGAAAACACTTGAACTAACTTCACGATATTATTGGTGGCCTCGCCAGGATAGAACCATTGAATTATATGTCAAAACATGTCCTATCTGTCAAAGGTCTAAACCAGAACATAATCAACCTTTTGGATTACTACTTAACTTACCTATTCCAGAAAAACCTTGGCAATCCATTTCTATGGATTTTATCGTTGATCTTCCACCTTCTCAACATTTCACCACTATTCTTGTCGTTGTGGATCGCTTCACAAAAATGTCCCATTTCATTTCTTTAAAAAATTACCCTCCTCTGTAGAATTGTCTAAGGTCTTTATTGACAATATTGTGAAACTTCATGGTCTTCCTGAAGAAATTATTTCTGATAGGGGGACACAATTTACCTCCAAATTCTGGAAAGAGATGTGTCTCTCCCTTCAAATTCAACGCAAACTCTCTTCCGCTTATCATCCCCAAACTAATGGGCAAACAGAAAGGGTTAATCAATGTTTGGAACAATATCTTCGATGTTATTGTTCATACCTCCAAGATGACTGGACCACATGGTTACCTATGGCCGAATTTTCTTACAATAATACCATTCATTCTAGTACGAAAATGACTCCTTTCTTCTCCAACTATGGTTTTCATCCGTCTTCATTCCCCATCCAAACCATTACTTCATCCAATCCTACTGTTACATCAAAAAACGAATTTATGTCTTCTCTATTTCTCAAATTACGGGAGAATCTTCAACTCGCCCAAAATAACCAGAAAAAGTTTTTTGACAATAATAGAAGAATTCCCCCTCCTTACAAGGTAGGGGATCTTGTCTGGCTCTCTTCAAGGAATATTACCACAAGCCGTCCTTCAAAGAAATTGAGCTCTCTTTTTCTTGGTCCCTTTCAAGTAATTACTATCATTAATGATAACGTTGTTAAACTAAAACTTCCTCCAAGTTTTAAACTTCATCCAGTATTCCATGTCTCCTTACTTAAACCACACATCCCTGATCCTTTTTATAGAGAAATAGTAACAACTCCTGAACCTATCATTGTCCAAGGTGAAGAAGAATATGAAATTCACAAAATTTTGGATTCTCGTGTCCACCGTGGCTCCTTACAATACCTTATCAGATGGAAAGGTTATGGAGTTGATGAAGACACTTGGGAAGATTCATCTAATGTACATGCTAGGAGGTTAGTTACTGCCTTTCACAAACGCTACCCCTCCAAACCGAAATAGTGCACCCAGAGGATGCCCCATGGGAAGGGGGTACTGTCAGGTATAGCATGGCATGTAATTCATCGCCGGAACCCACTTCCGGGTTCACGGCGCTCAGCCCCGCCCTTTTTTCTGACGCGGTCCCTCCACGATACTTAGGAGGACCGCGCCAGATTCAAAGGGCTGGATTATTCGCACAGGTGCTGCATGAAGATCAGCTGCTCTACTTCTGATCCTACCTGCTCCACTTCTATACCTCGGCTAGTAAACGGATTTCTACCTTCTCCACTTCTCGACCTCGGCTTGTAAACGGATTTCTACCTTCTCCACTCCTAGACCTCGGCTTGTAACTCTGAATTCTACCTTCTCCACTCCCAGACCTCGGCTTGTTAAAACGGACTTCCCCACTCTCCACTCCTAGTTCTCAGCTTGTTGAAACGGACTTCTAATTTCTCCTTCATTGGGTGAATTAACCCTTCCTGTGCCAGAACTGCCTTTAAGTTAAGTAATACTTTTACCAAACAAGTCAATTCCTATTATTTATATTACACAATATCTAAAACTCACTAAAGTGTCACTTTGTCTAATTATTCCTCTTATTCATAAGGGATTGCTACAAAGCCTAATTTTACCTTCATGGGTATTTAAAGGTACAGTGACCATTGTTTCATACCAATATAAAAGGAGGTGAAACTTATTGTTGTTGCAACCAAGAAATGCTGCAGTTGAGTTCCAATTAAAGAAATATTACAAAATAAGTATTACAATAGTCCACCATGGTAAGAATGTAATTCTTACCGGATGGACTGGAGTTGGGTAAGGGCCCCACTAGGTCGACTGCCACCATGCTAAACGGCTCTTCGATTACGGGCATGGGTGACAGTCGAACCCTAGGGTGGTCCCCTCTTTTCCCTACTCGTTGGCAGACGTCACACGGTACCACCCAAGTGTCCTGGTAAGGGAATATCATGGCCGATTCGGAGAAGTTCCAACTGGTACTTTCTGGGTACCACCAGTTTGGTGCTTCTGCGAAGGGACACAGCCTCTCTTCCTACCTTTGGTTAACCTGTATAACCTGTCGTTGTCCCATATAAACCTTTCCCGCTCATCCCCCCCCCACTGTCGGCTATTTCCCGGTACCTTTGGAGGGTGGGGTCCTCCCTGGTTTCCCTCCCAAACTCTTCTGGGGTATCCCAAGCTAGAGGTCTCTCTACTGTATTGGGTCTAAGGGTTGGTTCATTGCTTACCTGGGTCTCCCGTCCTTGTGTAGAGTCATCAGCAGCACGGGTCTGTGATCGAGTGGCCACTGGACAAGCAGCAGCGGTTGTGGGTAGGTAGGCTAAAGCCAGAGGGCCAATATCATTGCCCAACACGACTTCGACAGGCAGGTTGTCCATGATGCCCACAGTGGTTTTCCCAGACCTGACCCCCCAGTCCAAATGTACCCAGGCAGTAGGTAAGCGGAACACAGCCCCTCCCGCCACACATACAGCAACTGTGCGATTAGACAAATGTTCCAGTTTGACTAGATGCCTTTGCATCAGGGTGATGGTAGCACCGGTGTCCCTCAAGCCTTGTGCCACCTGTCCATTTACTCGCACCTCCTGGCGATGATGCTCGGTCTCTAGGCAATATGCGGCGGAGGTATGAGGTGAGGTGGTCTCAACGTTGGGTGAAGGGCGTCTCCAGTTGGTAGCAGAGGATCCCAAGGGGCAGAAACGGGCAATATGTCCAGTGTTGCTTCACCCGTGACAGGTTGTTCTAGACAAATCTCGGGGGTAGTTGTTGGACCCCTGAGGGCGAGACGGCCCTGGGGGTACAGGAGCACAGAACTCCAGGCGAGGTATGGTTGCTGGGGCACGATGTTCTACCTTGTGAGCTGGTCGAGGAGTACTTTGACTCACTTTTCTCGTTTCGGCGTACTCATCGGCCAACTGAGCAGCATTGTTTAAGGTTATGGGACGGCGGTCTCGCACCCAGTCCTGTAAGACTTCCTCCCCGGTGTCTGCCTGGCAGCCCTTAAGGGATTCCATGTGGGAATCCACAGCCTTTTTCTTGGACTCCTGGAAGCAGCGACGGTAAGTCTCTGGAGTCACGGCGTATCTGGTGAGGAGGGCATCCTTGACTCGCTGATACTGCAGTATATCCTCGGGGGTGAGAGCCTGAAAGGCTTAGTTCGCCTTGCCGGATAGTTTCCCGGACAAGATAGTGACCCATTGCTCTGGGGGTATTTGATGCAACGAGCACTGTCTCTCAAAATCGGCTAGATAGCCATCAATCTCATCTTTATTCTCCACAAATACTTTAAACGCTGTGAAAGGAACCTTCTTTGCCGTGTTAGTTGGAGGTGGGGTCTGAACTGTCTGTGTAATAGGCTGTTGTGCTCTTACCAGTTCGATTTCGTGGCCCCGCTTCTCCCGGATCTCTGCTTTCACGTCGAGGAACAGCCACTCAATCAGTTCTACTGACGTGGTTGGGTACATGGCTAGTCTCCTCTGCACAATGCGGTTGATGTCATCTTCTTCGCTGATCGGTACCAGGGGTTCGGTGACTTCCATGGACCGATCCATTTAGTCTAGTTCCAGTAGGTCAGCTATCAGCTCTCTCCATGGTCTGTTACTGGCACTCCATCCACGACTCTCCAGTAGATCTTTCAGTGTGGGTCTCTTCAGTCTGTCATACTGAGACTCCATTCAGCACTTGCACTGTGGATGAAAGGACCATCCCACTGCTGCCACCAATGTAACGGCTACCCAGGTAGTAGGAGGGTATCAGCCGTTGGAGACGTCCTTTTCTTCCTGGCAAGTCGCTGTGTAGTAGTGGAGTTGCTTATTCCCATCCACTGGATCCAAGGCAGGAGTCAGGCAGAGCTCTTAAAAGAGCTAAGTGATTAAGCTGCATATCCCCTTTCAATAGTGAGACAAGGCTACGTTTTGAAGGGTCAAGAAGAACTGAATTTTAACGGCAGGTACTCTCCTTTTATGTGATTCTGTCCATGCAAGGGAGACACCCACATAATTTTACAAAACAACCAATACAACATAAGGTACATCCCACACATCTCCTCCCCTCAGATAAACCTGTAACCCAATTAACACAGTTAGAATTTCCCCCAAGTTTCGAATATACATATGTCAAAATCAGCTCATTTGGTTCAGTGGTTCAAGAGATATGGGACTTTAAAGTTTTGACCGACTGCACAGGCAAAATAGCCAAAAATAGTTCCATGAGTTTTGGCCTTGTGGTCGGTCTTTGTTCATGCGTTAAAATTCCCGAAAGGCTTGCCAACCGTGTGTAACTTGACGTTCGCCAGAATCCCAATATACTACTCAGTCTTTCTACCGAACGGCAGGATGTTCGGTAGTTTTGGCACGAATTTCTAGTACTATGGAGGTCTCAGCGGTGTTCGCCTACTCGAGTGTCCGATTTTAGTTCCAGACACTGGACGGCAAAACACCGCTGTTCGGGAGTTAAGATGGCCGCAACCACGTGTAAAAGTCCCGAAATGGCGGCCACCCAGGCACTTAAACAAAGCGGTTGTGTGTTTCCCATGAAGACTGTATGCGCCCATCAGGGAGGTAAATTACACATAATTAGGTAGCAGGGTGGTCCGGTGTTCGGTAGTTTGCATTCGTATGAGGAATGCAGTGTTCCTACCGCCTGGGTCTCACAATTGAGCGAATGCTTAAAAAGTTCCGAACTGCTTTATAGAAAAATCCCCACGAAAGCCGGCAAGGACCTTCAATTTGTATCTAGCTTGATGTTCTTTTCTGTATAAATGATACATCCTTATAATCCAAGGTTTCTGTTCCTGTGTATGTGCCCGGCTAGCTCTTAACGGGTCAGTAATAGCAAGTGTTTCCAGGCACAGGGTAGAGTTTTGTTACACTGTGTTACAAACCTGCCTCCATTATCAGCCTTCTACTGTTACCAGCCTGCCTCTGTAACCAGCCGTTGTTTCAACCCTACCTGGAGATCACAGACTCTCTTTATCATTTTGCAAGTATCCTGTTTTGTGGCATATTGCCTAAAGTCTGTTTTTCCTCAATTTGCATAATATGTCAAAAAGCACAAATAAAGTCTCAAATAACAACCCTGGCATAAGTTTCCTATCTGACCTGCACAAGAGCATGACACTATCATTCAATTTGGTATCTTTATCTTTAAAAAAATGTGTTCTTTCTGTTTTAATAAGGTCTACCTCTGCCTTCTCTATATCTTCCTTGTTATAGCCCTTATCTAAATACCTATTTTTTATAACTTGAGATTGTTATTTAAACACTTGTACGTCTGAGCAGTTTCGTCTTAAACGAGTGAAGTGTCCTTTGTGGATGTTTTTAAGCTAAGAAGGATGATGTGAGCTAGAATATTGTTTTGCTGTATTGCAATCCGTACTTTTGAAAAAAAGTTTTTGTTTTTAAGGTATTTTCCTCCATATATAAGGTAAGATCAAGAAAATCTAACGGTTTTGGATTACAGATGGAGGTAAATTGTAAATTATAATCGTTACAATTAATGTTTAGAATAAAATTATTTAAACTCAGTTGGTCTCCTTCCCAAATTATAAGCACGTCGTCTTATGTAGCATTGCCACAGGAAGAGATCCCCCCCAGCGTCTGGCCCAACCCAACATGTCTAGATTCCCAATGGGATACATAAAGGTTAGCGAAGCTGGGGGCGAACCTCGTAACCATGGCGACACCACATAGCTGTGAATAATAACTGTTATCAAACCAGAAAAAAAATGTTGTCAACACAAATTGGATAGAGGCGACTAAAAAATCGGCTTGTTTTATACTCTATTTTTTACTGGTGGTAAAAATATCTTTGATGGCTGAGAGTCGTTTTTGATGGGGGATGTTTGTATACAGGGAAACGACATCAACTGAGGCCAGAATGTACATTGACTTCCACTGTATCTGTAATAGATCATTTAGAAGATGTTTGTGTCCTTGATGTAAGTGGACATTGTGGGAACAAATGGTTGTAAGAAGAAGTCAACGTAACTCTGACAAATTACAAGACATAGAATCAATCCCACTAATAATGGGACGGCCAGGTGGGGAAGTTAAACTCTTGTGTATGTTTGTCAAAAAATAAAAGCAGGGGGCGGGGCCTGACAACCAAGATGGCCGGTCGCACTTAGTGAGAGCTCCAGCACCAGCAGGCACAATTAAGCTTTTTCCGACCAAACTACCATCGACAGCTGCTCACGGTGCCCAGCGTGCGATGCAGGACCGATCAAGAAACGGGAGGATGCCTGTCTTGACTTGGTATGCCACGAAAGTGCCTGGTCCGGCCATGCCTAGCGTCTGGGGGAGGCGGCCGATCCCCCAGCGCGGGACATGCTCACCCAGAAGAATTCAGCATAGCCCTGCTACCCCACCCTATGGAACGGTGGGGGATATCCCGGTCCTCGCTGGGGACGATTACCCCCACAACACAGCCTGCAACACAAGAGACTCGCAGTACCCCTGGGACTGCCGTCAGAGCTGAGTCCAAGCAACCCGAGGAGAGGGCGAAAAAAACGGCTAATAACCACGCTGAACAAGCGGATTACTCAGCTAGGCTAGAAGCGATCTTTGAAGCATTCTGGCACAAGCTTGAACGGCGCACACAACAAAATGCTGAGAAACAACAAGGCATCTGCTCCTCAAAGCACCCACAAGGAGGTCATAACATGGCCGCTGCGAACAAGCCCCAGCGCCCACAGGACCAACGATGCCGCCCAACTCTGCGCAGCAAACAGCGGTCTCAAGCAACTGCCTGGAGCAACAAACCACCTTCAGGGCAGGGAGCCCGACAGGACCACAGTCAGTCCCATCGTCCACACACCAGGAGGACCTCCAAGAAAACGGAGTTCCAGAAGGCACACGGCCCAACTAAGCACTGGGCAGTGATTCCCGTACTAAACGGGACGAGGGGACCTGATCGGTCATTGTACCACCGCAACAACCTCCCAAGACACCTGCTGGGTATAATCAACAACTGACACCTGCACTGCACAGAGGATGCCATGCGGAGACACCCCCAGCATGGCCCGCAAGAGGAATTGGCTGACTGGTGCTGAGAGCAGCCACTCGCAATGCGTGCAGAGTCCAGAGACAATCAGGACAATTCAAACTAAGATGCAGAGAGCAACCTCCAGTGAGACATGTACCAATGGTTGATTAATATGTACCCAGAATAGATATGTGTCAATGACTAATAGGTGCCCATAATTAATATGACCCTCTGATGAATATGTGCCAGCAATTAACATGATCTCCATACCTGTTTTAGCACGATCCTAGCGTTTGGCGGTGTGATTCCCCACACCACTATGCAATAGCTATCCTCTCCGCAAAAGCTAGCAACTCCTATATGCTAGACTCACTCTATATTCTCTTATGAATGATGTGAAAGTTTAGGCACCTCTCCCCACTAATAAGCTACCTACAACCCAAGGCTCAGACATGCAAGTACCTTTAATCCCAAGCAAAAGCGATGCAGAAATAAGCACTGCTATGTGACCTAGGGGTCACTTCACCTTCACCTTACCCTATATGTATTTGACTAAGCTTGTTATTATTGGTGGCAATCGGTATCAGTGCCTACGATATGTAATCGCTATAACGAAACTGGTTTTAGTATCACTCATACGCACTGTATAGTTTCCATCATTGTTCTTTCATGTTATTTAAAAAAAAAAAAAAGTGCTGTACTGCTGACATTTCAAGACATATTTAAGCATGTTGTATAACTCCTACAAGTTATTGTCACGCCTATTGCTCTGACCTATGTGCTTTACCATAAGCTTAATTGCACTCAACTGTGATTCTTGAATGTCATATGAGCGTAAATCTTGAAACATGCAGTAGTGGCGAGTGCAGATACCCTGATTGTTGTTGTTCCAATATAACGTATAAGCCTATATCCTAACGACTAATCTACTGTACATAGTATAAAGCTACCGTTACTAGCCTAACAACCTGCCACACTTACCATTAGGTTCAGGGGGAATGAATGTCGCACTACATAAAAGCCACATGTTTATAACCTAAAGCGTACCTAGATATGTTATCCTATGTTATATCATATAAGCGATGTTTATTAATCTGTTAATTTCACGATTATACCAAAATGTGCTGATCATACTGCCACGCTTTAAATTGTCTTGTAAATGCTTGTGGATGCTGTTGTGGCTCCAGACGCTCGTTGTCATTGCAAGCACAAGAAAAATAAAGAATTTAAAAAAATAAAAATAAAAAATAATAAAAGCAAGCGGTTTTACAATATGGATTTAGTATAAAATTAAAATAGTCTTGAGTTAAGATTTTACTATCAAGTCCCCTTCAATACAATAAAATATTCACTACATTAATTGTAATGATTATAATTTACAATTTACCTCCACCTGTAATCCAAACGGTTAGATTTTCTTGATCTTACCTTATATAAAATACCTTAAAAACAAAAACTTTTTTCAAAAGTACGGATTGCAATACAGCAATAGAATATTCTAGCTCACATCATCCTTCTTGGCTTTAAAACATCCCCAAAGGTGCGACTAATTCCAGGGGATGGACCTGAGGCCTACCTGCGGCCTACTCAGGAAGCATGGGGGAGACAGGGATCCCTCAGCCGACTGCAGCCTGTAACAAAGGAGGTCTCTCCGGAACACTCTCTCCCCTGCCGGTGAGGGATATCCCGGCAACCAGAGCATGTGGATCGGGATGGAGAAACCGAGCTCAGCCACCTTGCACCGCCGGACCCCTGACACACGGCATGGCAGAGACCACGTGGCTCCCAGCATCCAAGCCCAGCTTGCCTCCACTGTCGGAGCGGCTAGACCGCCTATTCAGCGATTTTTGGGCCAAACTCACCAGCCGCAGAGACACCCGGGCACAAGTCCCACCGGCATCAGCCACAAAGGACATTACACAGCAGCCTGCAGCTCCGGTGCGGAAACCGAGAAAGATTGAGATAGCAGGGAGTGAGAGGCGGAAGAAACGTCGAAAGCCCCAGTGCCCGAGACCACTGGTGAGTTGCCCAAAGCCTCAACGGAGACGATCTCCAGGGCTGCCCCATCACCACCCTTCTCACCCGCAAAAAGTCCGCTCTAAGAACTGGCCTAGCACACTCAGGCAGGTTCTGTCTCAGAACAGCAGCCCTGCGGGTCTAAAGGCACACACAGGACTCCCGCCTCCAAGTCACACCTCTAAGTCACCAGGAAACCTAGAGGCAGCACGGAGCCAACTCACTGCCCAACGAACGGGAGTGCTTGGTCCACTCGCTCCCCCGAGAGGCGGCAAAACATATGGCTGTGACATACCCCTGGCAGATGTTGGCTGACCGGGACATTTGAAATCACAGATGAGTCATTCACCCTATGCCTCATAAAGTCCCTACCTGCTACTAAGGACATTTCTTGTTCCCCTGAGAAATATAGTGTTACTCCTATGCTCATATGCTATGCCCTACAACTCACACGCTAACCTACTGCAATTATCTTGTATTCCTGTATTCTTGCACAACCTCTACACACTCTCTAGGGCTATGTATAATAACAATGTTCAGCCTGCATAACACTCCACAGCCTCAATAGACTTAGCATGCTCCTACATTCCTGTATTAACCCATGAAACTGTGCAAAGTTAATATGACACACAACTGTTTCTCTATGTCTAAGTCTTTAATTTGCTATCACTACTAAGCTTACGACATTATCTTGTTTATATAACTACTTTAAAAAAAAAAGTGCAATGTTGTTAATGCTATGTGATTAAGAATGTTTGCAAACTCGACTGTACCAGCACAAATTCGCCTGTTACCCTTATGCACGAATAAAAATAAAGAATTAAAAAAAAAATAAAAAAAATCCCCAAAGGACAAGTCACTCATTTAAGACTAAACTGCTCAGACGTACCCCTTAAGGACACATGACATGTGTGACATGTCATGATTCCCTTTTATTCCAGAAATTTGGTCCTTAAGGGGTTAAACAACAATCTCAAGTTATAAAAAATAGGTAAATAGATAAGGGCTATAACAAGGAACATATAGAGAAGGCAGAGGTAGACCTTATTAAAACAGAACAACTTTTTTGAAACATAAAGATACCAAATTGAGTGATAGTAACCATTTTGACTTTGCTTTTATAACAGGCCAAAAAAAACCCGAATGAGTTCTAAACAAACTGGCACATTTTGCAGAAGGATGAGTTCCTTAGAAAATCTTACCCAATAGACCTACAGTCATATACAAGAAAGCAGATAACCTATATTGCCTGATAATAAAAATAAGGGTACCTCAAATCAAACTCCTGTTTTAACTAAAGAAATATTACATGGTTTCTTTCCTTGCAAAAAAGTGGTTCATTCATTCATAGGCACATACACTAACCAAACATATGATATTAAGAAATTTATACAATGCTCCACAACCCATGTGGAGCACAATATATTGGCCGTACAAAATGAAAACTACACAACAGACTCTTTGAACATTTTTATAATATCAGAACACATAGTGTAGCGGATGGCACTGGGCTGTCCTGGGAATTGTATTAGCTTGGACTGCATTCGTGTAAATGGTAAAGTTATATGTGTTAAATGTATTGTGTTCGTCTGATTGTTCGGTAGTTTCATTCCCTTAGTTTGTTCGAATGAACCTACCGAACAGTCAGACCTCCCCTGTGTGAAGTGTGCCTTCAATTAACCGTTGCAACATTGTTGCGAACGGGTAATTGACAAACTGATTAGCAGTCCTTTGTTCTCGGGGGTGGCCGCCATTCGGGAAACGAACACATGGCGGCGGCCATTTTAAAACTCCCGAACAACGGTGTTTTGCCGTCGAGTGTCTGGGACTCAAATCGGACACTCGACTAGGCGAACACCGCTGAGACCTCCATAAGCCCGGTCCGTTCGGTTCCAAACTACCGAACGGCCTCTCATTCGGTAGATAGAAACAACCGAACGCGGGGATTCAGGTGAACCCTCCCCAGTCTCTGTAACTAGAGGCTTTCGTGTGATTCATTCCCTTGTTCCATCACATGGAGCCCAATTTGGCTATTCCTTCCAGCGCGGTCGGTCATTTTATTCCCTCCATGAATTTCCCGAACCCCTGGTCTGATCTGGGTGATTTTTGGATATGTTGTTCACCTAGATCAGGGCTACCAGGGGATGTATAATTTAAAGTGGGGGAATTGGTGTCCTGGATAAGGGGATTATGATGCAGGCTGAGGTGAGGGGATGTGTGGAAGGTTACCGGAACAGGATTGGATACTGTAGTAATTGGTGGAAATCCCTCCCTTGCATGGGAGCATGCTTTATAAGGCCACTGTGAAATAAAGGTTTCAGTTCTGCTCCTGATACTGTGTGTCGTCCAGTTATTAGGATTGCTGTTGGGATACTGCTGGATTATCTTACCTGCTGGAAACCTTGCTTTATGGATTTATAATTACTTGTTCCTGAGCCTTACTGGGATCTTAAGTGAAGATAACCTGTGGAATACTGGATCTCCACTACATTGATTGGCAGCGGTGGGATACAGACTCACAGAGGAACAAGCACCAATGGAGTACGGATGGAGATTGATTTTTCTACACTAAAACGCTCCACACTAAAGGACCTCCTAGAAGCAAGGGTATTCAAGCCAGCAACAAAAAGAAAGCGGTACTTATTACCGAACTCATGGCAGAGTACCGAATGGATGGCGGTTCGGTTCCTGAACAGGGGGATCCGGCGGAAAGACAAATGGAGTTCCAGAGACAGTTACAATTTAGGCTGTCTTTTTATGGAGAACACCTTCCAGCGGAAATTATTTCCAGGACCATGACAGAGGTCCAGGAATTTATACTAAGGCAACGGACAACAACCCCAGAACACAGCCCTGCAGTACACACGACACAGGAAGGTAAGCCTAAAATACAGTATCAGGCTTTTAAAACATATGTGGAGGCAGAGGAAGACATAGACGCTTTCCTGCAAGATTTTGAAAGACTGTGTACACTGCATAGAATCAGTACAGAGGACTGGGTACCTATTTTGGCAGGACGTTTAACTGGGAGGGCAGCAGAGGCGTATCGTACTGTACCAGACGAGGAAATCAGGAATTACAGGAGAGTGAAAGAGATTATACTGGCCCGGTATGCTATAACACCAGAGGCATACCGGAGGAGATTTCGGGATTTAAAGAAAGCGGAGAAAGACTCACATGCAGAGTGGGCATGCAGGTTGCAACGGGCAGCTCTCGGGTGGGTACAAGCTAGCAAGGCACGGTCCATGGAGGACGTGATACAAATGCTACTAATAGAACAATTTTATGATGGGGTGACCGCAGATGTTCAGGAGTGGGTAAGGGACCGGAACCCTACATCCCTCACAGAAGCTGCAAGGAAGGCATGTGATTATCTGGACACACGCAGGCAACAAAAACCCGCAGTTCCAAAAGTAGCGTTAAAAACCTTTGGGGGAACCAACTACACCCCACCACCACCGAGACAACTACCACCGTCACCACCACCCGCTGCACAGCCACGATTTCGCCAGCCAAGCTCTGGGCCCTGTCATCACTGCCAGAAATGGGGGCATTATAAAAGGGAATGCCCACAACTGCAGGATCGTTCCACCTGGATCCGACCAGGCCCGCCACCACCACCAAGAGCAGCCGCAGCACACTACTACCAGGACATAATTGTAACACCATATGGTTCAGCAGTGCCCATTACCACCGTTGAACAGTGGGAAGTATTGCACAAAGCTGATCCAGTACAGGCCAATGCTGATAATCGTCAGCACCATAGACTGGAGGGTAAAGCGGTCCAAGGACTACGTGACTCAGGAGCTACTATCACCCTGGTAAAAAGTCACCTGGTCTCGGATCAGGCTAAGCTCAGTAAAACTGTAGCCATCAGGGTAGCCGGGGGAACAGTGTACCGGCTACCTACAGCAAGGGTACATTTGCATTGGGGAGCGGGGTCAGGACACGTGGAGGTGGGGTTGATGCCGCAGTTACCAGCAGAGGTTTTGTTGGGGAACGATCTGGGGAGGCTCATGTCTGCTTTTGAGCCCCAGACACCAACCACAGGAGAAGCTCACCCTGTGGTCACCCGACAACAGGCCCGCACCCAGGACTACAACACACTCCTGGAGGTTCAGGTAAGAGATACTTCCCCTTCCTTAGAATGTGTCCCCTGGGCCCCACCTAATGAATTCGCAGCTGAAGTCATAACTGATCCTACGCTGCAAGTATATACGGACAAGGTTGTCACTGACTCACCCGGGGGGGAGGGAGAGAGATTTGTCTGGGACAAGCATCTTCTATACAGGGAGTCGTACAAGCAGATAGCTGGGTCAGACACGATAGTGATGAGGCAGCTAGTGGTGCCGAAGCGGTACCGAGCAGAGTTACTCTGGATAGTGCATGATATTCCGCTATCCAGGCATTTAGGGGTCAGTCGCACTAGGTACAGACTGACCCAAAGTTTCTTCTGGCCAGTGATCAGCCAGGAAGTGCGCAAGTATTGCAGTATGTGCAATACTTGCCAGAGGGTAGGAAAAAGGGGAGACCGAAGGAAGGCAAAACTACACCCCCTACCCATAATTGAGGAACCCTTTAGTAGAGTAGCTGTAGATTTGATAGGCCCTCTCAAGAAAGCTAGCCCATCAGGCAAAAGGTACATTTTAACTGTGGTAGATTATGCCACTAGATATCCAGAGGCAGGGGCTCTGACCAATATACACGCTGAAACGGTCGCGGATGCCCTCATGCGGATCTTCTCCCGGATCGGGTTACCCAGGGAGATTATCTTGGATCAGGGTACCCAATTTACAGCAGAAGTCACCCAACACCTCTGGAGGATCTGTGGCATTAAGCCTATTATCAGTGCCCCTTACCACCCCCAGACCAATGGGCTCTGCGAACGGTTCAGTGGTACATTGATACAAATGCTCCGAACCTTCGCAGAGACCCACAAGGACTGGGAGCGATTCCTGCCGCACCTCCTATTTGCTTACCGGGAGGTGCCCCAGGATTCCACAGGGTTTTCCCCGTTTGAACTGCTATTTGGGAGGAGAGTCAGAGGCCCCCTAGATCTGATTAGAGAGCATTGGGAGGGAGATCGGAGCGCAGATGGCACTCCCATCATACCATATGTGTTGGCCTTCCGAGACTGCCTGGAAGCATTGACTAGGATGGTAAGGGAAAACCTTCAGGCAGTGCAGACCCGCCAGCGCACATGGTATGATCGAGGAGCCAGGGACCGTAGCTTTCAGGTCGGGCAGAAAGTGTTGATTTTAAAACCTGTCCGACATGACAAGTTACAGGCCGCCTGGCAGGGACCTTATAGGGTGGTGGAACAGAGATGCGACACCACCTATATAATCGGCCCCTGCACAGGTACTGGAGGGCGACGCATGCTCCATGTGAACATGATGAAGCCCTACCAGGAGCGCTCCGAGGAGGTAACCGCCATATGTGCGCCCAACTCTGACGAGTTTGACAGCTTACCACTCCCAAATCTACTGGAAGATGGGCAGTTGTCTGGGGATTTAGGGGAGGTTGCACTGGGAGACCGACTGAGCCCACAGGAGCGTATCGAGGTACAACAGCTATTGGAAGAGAAACGAGACACGTTCTCTAATGTACCTGGATACACCGCTTCTGCGTGGACTACAGGAGATTGAACGAGAAAACCGTGTCTGATGCCTATCCCATGCCCCGGATAGATGAACTACTAGACAGGATGGCCAGGGACCAATACCTCACTACTATTGGCAAATTCCCCTGGCCCCAGATGCCATCCCTAAGTCGGCCTTTGTCACCCCATTTGGCTTGTACCAGTTTAAGGTCATGCCATTTGGGATGAAAAACGCCCCAGCTACTTTCCAGAGGATGGTGGACCGACTCCTAGATGGGTTCCAGGACTATACCTGTGCCTACCTGGACGATATTGCCATTTTTAGCAATACGTGGCAGGAGCACTTGGCCCATATAGGAGCGGTCCTAGACAGGATTAGGGAGGCTGGTTTGACATTGAAACTGGCCAAGTGCAGTATAGGGATGGCCGAGGTGCAATACCTGGGACATCGAGTGGGGTGCTGCAAGCAAAAGCCCGAACCAGCCAAAGTGGCCCACCCCTAGGACTAAGACCCAAGTTTTAGCATTTCTAGGGACAGCCGGGTATTACAGAAAGTTTGTCCCCAATTATAGTGCCCTGGCCAAACCCCTCACCGACCTGACCCGGAAGAATCTTCCCCGCCAGGTGACCTGGACCCCGGAGGGTGAAAAGGCATTCCAACAGCTGAAAAATGCGCTGATAAATGCCCCTGTCTTGGCAGCTCCCAATCCAACTAAACGTTTTCTTGTTCACACAGACGCTTCTATGTTTAGATTGGGGGCAGTACTGAGCCAAGTCGGGGCCGATGGCGGAGAACATCCCGTGGCTTACATCAGTCGCAAGTTACTACCCCGCAAAGTAAGCTACGCCGCCATCGAGAAGGAATGCCTGGCTGTGGTGTGGGCCCTAAAGAAACTGCAGCCGTATTTGTATGGATAGCCTTTTTCCTTGCTCACGGATCACAACTCGTTGGTCTGGCTAAACCGGGTGGCTGGGGACAATGCCAGGCTGCTGCGCTGGAGTTTGGCACTGCAACCTTTTGACTTTAACATCCAGTACCACCCGGGCAAACAGAATGGGAACACTGATGGGTTGTCGAGACAAACAGACCTGGAGAAATGATCCGTGAGCCTCCCCGGACATCCCCAAGCCGATCCATGTGGGATCAGACTGTGTATGGCGGCTTGTGGGCAAGGGGGAGCATTGTAGCGGATGGCACTGGGCTGTCCTGGGAATTGTATTAGCTTTGACTGCATTCGTGTAAATGGTAAAGTTATATGTGTTAAATGTATTGTGTTCGTCTGATTGTTCGGTAGTTTCATTCCCTTAGTTTGTTCGAATGAACCTACCGAACAGTCAGACCTCCCCTGTGTGAAGTGTGCCTTCAATTAACCGTTGCAACATTGTTGCGAACGGGTAATTGACAAGCTGAGTAGCAGTCCTTTGTTTTCGGGGGTGGCCGCCATTCGGGAAACAAACACGTGGCGGCGGCCATTTTAAAACTCCCGAACAGCGGTGTTTTGCCGTCGAGTGTCTGGGACTCAAATCGGATTCCAAACTACCGAACGGCCCCTCGTTCGGTAGATAGAAACAACCGAACGAGGGGATTCAGGCGAACCCTCCCCAGTCTCTGTAACTAGAGGCTTTCGTGTGATTCATTCCCTTGTTCCAGTCGGTCATTTTATTCCCTCCATGAATTTCCCGAACCCCTGGTCTGATCTGGGTGATTTTTGGATATGTTGTTCACCTAGATCAGGGCTACCAGGGGATGTATAATTTAAAGTGGGGGAATTGGTGTCCTGGATAAGGGGATTATGATGCAGGTTGAGGGGAGGGGATGTGTGGGAGGTTACCGGAACAGGATTGGATACTGTAGTAATTGGTGGAAATCCCTCCCTTACATTGGAGCATGCTTTATAAGGCCACTGTGAAATAAAGGTTTCAGTTCTGCTCCTGATACTGTGTGTCGTCCAGTTATTGGGATTGCTGTTGGGATACTGCTGGATTATTTTACCTGCTGGAAACCTTGCTTTATGGATTTATAATTACTTGTTCCTGAGCTTTACTGGGATCTTAAGCGGAGATAACCTGTGGAATACTGGATCTCCGCTACACATAGATTGGATCACAGTGTACCTAAACACTGTGTTAATTGCCCACTTTTCAAATGGGATACTTTTTTTTAGCAATTGGGATAGACAAGGCAGAGAAACATTGGAGGGGAGGAAACATAGAATTATCACTAAATATGAAAGAGGGACAATGGATCTATAATTTAAAGACCTTAAAATCAGGATTAAATGAGGAGCTAGATCTCATTGGTCTTATCTAACTTTTTCTTTATTCTCCATGATCTAATTTTTCATTATTATTATTCTTTCTTAGTTTTTTCTTTTTTACTATTTTTATTCAATGTTTTTTATTCAATGTATCCTAATCATTTATTTTCTAGTTTTTTTTTTCCAGATTTTTACTTTGGATATATTAAATTACTCAAAGGAGTTTTTAATGTATATTGTGTTTATTTGCCTATTATCTCTGCTCATCTATTGTATCTTGGAATACAAGTGTATTTGGTTTTTGTACAAGACTCTGCATCATGGCTCTATACAGATGTGTGTGTGTGTGTGTGTGTGTGTGTGTGTGTGTGTATATATATATATATATATATATATATGTATCTAATTTTTTTATTTTTTGATCATTCACTCTTTATTTTTATTATTTATATATGAATTTATATTTTTATATTTATTTTCATTTTTATTTTTGAGATTTTTTTATTTTTTATTTTCATTATTAGTAGTATTTTTATTTATTATATATATTTTTATTTACCTTTTTTATTAAGTAATTTTTGGCTTTATTTGATATGTATTTTTTAGATATATCATATAAACTTTTTTTAAACCACACATTTTGGTTATATTTGTTGTTGTCTTTTGATTCATACTGTGATTTGCCATGATGCACACCCTTCTCTATATCCCAAATTGTGTGTGTACATACCAAACAGAGTTTGATGTTTGAATTTGGTTACTGTCTGCTGCCTGTCGCAAACCAGCACCCGGAACACTTTTATGTGTTCCAAGGTGGATCGCACGCCTTGACTGAAGATGTCATAGTCGCAAACCCGAAGTAAAGATCAGCGATGAAGCAAACGCCGGTCCAGCTGCCGAGCATTAATCTTCAAGGCCACCAATATATAAGAAGACTCTCCTGGAGCATCTACCTCAATCCCTGAGGAAGTCCCAACGGACGAAACGCGTAGGACTTGTGTATACTTTCTTTAATTCATATTTTATTTGTACATTTTACTATATTTATGTACCGTATATACTCGAGTATAAGTCGAGTTTTTCAGCAATTTTTTTGTGCTGAAAAACCCCCACTCGACTTATACTCGAGTCATTGTCTATATTATGGCAACTTACATTGCCATAATACAAACCTGGACCGCCGGGCTCATTACAAGCCCAGCGGTCCTGTTGGGGGCTGGCAGTGAGCTTTTACTTACCTTTCCTGCAGCTCCTGTCAGCTCCCCTGTCAGCTCCACTGTAAATCTCGTGAGAGCCACGGGATCAGAGCGTTGCCACGGGTTACCAGTCAGACCGTGAGACTTACAGTGGAGCTGACAGGCGAGCTGACCGGAATGCAGGAGAAGGGAGCTGACAGGAGCTGCAGGAAAGGTAAGTTACAGCTCGCTGCCAGGCCCTCTCCTACACAGTACACACCACTGGACCACCAGGGAATGAGAGCCCCCCTCCTTGGCCATGTATTAAGCAGGGAGGGGGGACGAAAAAAATATAAATAAAAAGTTAAATAATATTAAAATTAAAAAAAAATAATAATATAAATAAAAAATAATAATTAAAAAATAATAAAAAATGCCCACCCCCCACCAAGGCTCTGCATCACATACACACACTGCATTCATACACACATACACACACACACTGCATTCATACACACACTGCATTCATACACACACACTGCATTCATATTCATACACACACTGCATTCATTATATACACACATTGTAAATAAATATTCAATTAATATAATTTGGGGGGGATCTAATTATATTTAGAAATTTACCAGTAGGTGCTGCATTTCCCACCCTAGTCTTATATTTGAGTCAACATGTTTTCCCATTTTTTTGGGGTAAAATTAGGGGTCTCGACTTATATTCGGGTCGACTTATACTCTAGTATATACGGTATCTATTTTTGTATTTAATGTATCTATATTTGCCACCCTGCATGTGAAAACCCTGCTATCTTTTTAAGTCCGGACACCACGCTGGTTGTGGAGGTATGCCTTATTTTATCTGATATCCTGTAAGTGCAATGTTGTGCAATAAAAATTTTATATTTTAATACCATCTGCACTATATATTTTTTCTTCTCACTGCTACTCTGAGCTACTCTCTGCAACCCTGAATATCTTCAAGAAGACCGTGCTTGAAGATATTCCATCTTTTTCCCTGACCCTATTTATGGGAGAAATGCCTGAATTTACATCGATCTAGTGAGTTTTCTACCACCCTCACCCTGATATTTAACCCTTACTACACCATATGTATTTTTATTTACTTTACAGAATACGTTGTATTGTTTTTTTCAGGTTGTATAATATTTTTATTATTCACCCATTTGGTGTTTGGTTATTTGCGGCCTGTATCTATTCAGTCCACTTAGGACCCTTTTTGGTTTCCTTTTTTCGTCTTAACTATTTCAAGTGTTTTGAGAGGGAACACTTTTTCTTTAAAGGGATTATTTGTATTTTGGGAGCATATAGTGAACCATTCTTGTGTATATAGCAATATGTATCTAGAGAATTGCAAGCTATGAAACACCTGGTCTGTGCAGTCATAACCCTATAGGGTTAATTCCTATGTCCATATAAGAAAAATCAAATAGTGGTCTCAATATTGTTCCTGATTAGGTAAAAAGAGCTTTATTGGTACGGTTCCAATTAAATATATAAAACAGGAGTATTAGAGTTAATATCTGAGTATATTATTTAGATGAGTTTGAGTAATCCTAAAGTACAGCTTCCAGTCAAATGTCAAAACAGACAGGAGTTATTTAGCAAGTTGTCAAAGTACTCCTTCTGAATACTAGTGGCTTATCAGGTTGTATAGATATATACAACCCAGCAGGGCGTTTGAAGCTCTAGGTGTTAACTTTTTTACTGGGCACCTTATTTTTTGTCTCACTTTTGATTTAACATGTTGTTCTAATTACTTACTTTCACTTTTTTCCTCCCTTTTGTTTCTATGTCTATCTAGCAAGATTACCAGGGAGAGAGGCTTTGCTACACTATTAATTCATGCCAGTATTTTACTGACATTAGAACTTTCTTGCTATCCCTTCCTCTCCATTACTTGCTTTCTGTGATTATCTGAGCACAATTTTTGGCTATAGACAGCCTTGTTCCATTGGACACCTTGTTAGACCTGTTTTTATAATTACCATAACCTGTTGATATATACATCCAGTGGCGTACATACCAGGGTCGCAGGGGTCGCGGCTGCGACCGGGCCCGGCCCACCAGGGGGCCCGGCCGCCCCCGCGACCCGGTATGTAGCCACAGGGCCAGCCTCTTCCCCTGGGGGGCCAGGAGGCGGCCACCCCAGGGCCCCCCCGAGGCTGGCCCTGCTGACCCCAGCTGGCAGTTGCCGGTCGGGCAGGCAGGCGGACGCGCGAGGGAGCACTCAGTGCTTCCTCTTCAGCTCCCTCGCGCGCAGCGTAGGGATGCCGGAGCCGGAAGATGACGTCATCTTCCGGCTCCGGTATCAGTGCGGTGCGCGAGGGAGCTGAAGAGGAAGCACTGAGTGCTCCCACGCGCGCCCGCCTGCCTGCCCGACCGGCCACCCGCCCAGGAGTCCAGCAGCAGCATCACTGGACCCCAGGGAATCCCCCCAGCACTCCACAAGGTAAGGAGGCTGGGCGGATTACATTTGAAAAAAAAAAACAACTAGTGTTAGTGTTTGACTGTGTGTTACAGTGAGTGTTAGAGTGAGTGTTAGTGTGTGTCTGCTAGTGAGTGTTAGTGTGAGTGTTAGTGTGTGTGTGTTAGTGTGTGTCTGCTAGTGAGTGTGAGTGTTACAGTGAGTTAGTGTGTGTCTGCTAGTGAGTGTGAGTGTTAGTGAGTGTTAGTGTGTGTCTGCTAGTGAGTGTTAGTGTGCGTGTTAGTGTGTGTGTTAGTGTGTGTCTGCTAGTGAGTGTTAGTGTGTGAGAGTGTTAGTGTGTGTCTGCTAGTGAGTGTTAGTGTGAGTGTTAGTGTGTGTGTGTTAGTGTGTGTCTGCTAGTGAGTGTTAGTGTGTGTGTCTGCTAGTGAGTGTCAGTGAGTGTGTTACTGTGTGTGTCTTACTGAGTGTGTGTGTGTGTTAGTGAGTCTGTTTGATGTCTGTTAGTGAGTGTGTTTGTCAATGAGAGTGTATGTTTTGTAAGTGAGTGTGTATGTATGTCTGTCGCTGACTGTCTCTGTCAGTAAATGTGTGTGTCTGTTAGCTAGTGTGTATGCGTCTGTAAGTGTGTGTGTGTGTCTTCAGCACTTACCTTTCTCCAGCGCCGGACTCCCTTGGCGCTGAGGATCCCTCAGCCTCTCAGCTCCGAATGCGACCGCGCACGCATTCAAACCGCCCATAGGAAAGCATTACTCAATGCTTTCCTATGGACGTTCAGTGTGCTCCTCTAGCGGCTGTCAGTGAGACAGCCACTAGAGGCTGGATTAACCCTCAGTGATTAACCCTCAGCTGCAGGGTTAAAACTAGAGGGACCTGACACCCAGACAACTTAATTGAGCTGATGTGATCTGGGTGTCTGTAGTGGTCCTTTAAAGGACCACTGTAGTGCCAGGAAAACATACTCGTGCCTAGAGTGGTCCTTTAAGTGTGTGTGCATCTACATGCAGGGGTCGCAGCCCTGTAACCCCTGCGACCAGGTGCCCACCGCCATGTGTTGCGGCCCGGCCCGCGCGCGGGTGGGGGGCCCACGGATCAATTTTCGCACCGGGTCCCATGGGTCATGTGTACGCCACTGTATACATCCCATTGTAAGGCACTACGGAATCTGTTGGCGCTATATAAATAATAAAATAATAATAATGTCTCTACCATAAGCCGTCTCCAAAGGTGTTTAACCCTTTAAGGACCAAACTTCTGGACTAAAAGGGAATCATGACATGTCACACATGTCATGTGTCTTTAAGGGCTTAAGAGAATTTGGCAGTACATCCAACTGGCCTTACAACCGCAGACCATGTGTAACCACACCAGCCCATGACCTTCACACCCAGCATCTTCACTGAATCCTCGTCTCTACTTTTTAAATTTCACGCATGCTAGCAAAGTCTGGCTCTACTCTTCATTGTGAATTATAAGTAAAATCAGTCTTACAGGAAATGGTTGTACATGCCATATGCATGTTTAGGTTGTCTCTGTAGTATACTAATGCCCTAAATGCAAGGATGTGTAACTAATAGACCCTCTTTCATGACAGTGGTCTGTAAAAAGAATCTGGATAGTACAACTGTGGCCATTCATGCTGATGAGATTTACTGCAAGTCCTGCTATGCTAAAAAGTATGGACCCAAAGGCTATGGTTTTGGACAGGGAGCTGGCACCCTAAGCATGGACAAGGGGGAAAATTTGGGCATTCGACATGATGACGAGTAAGTGGCAGCTAGCTCCTAATAAAAAAAGTTAAATCTGTCTAATCTGTCTAATCTGTCTTCTGTCTTTTCTTCACCTTATACCTTTCACATCTTTGTTAACACCATTTTGAAAAGCTGTTATTTTTTTTTTCTCCCAGACCTAGGCTGCATCAGGCAACAAATAACCCAAATTTCTCTAAGTTTGCTCAGAAAGTAGGAGGAGCAGATGTGTGTCCTCGTTGTTCAAAGTCTGTTTATGCTGCAGAAAAAGTCATCGGTGGTGGCAATGTAAGTAGAATTCTTTTTTTTTTTTTTTTAAATCAAGGAATGAACTGGGTTCTTGCCTTACAATTCAAATACATTATAAGGCAAGAGTAGCCAAATTGGCAGCATAGATTTTAGTAAATCCCCTATTCCAGTTTGGTTATTCTAACCTTAAAGGATCACTATATGGTCAGGAACACAAACATGTATTCCTGACCCTATAGTGTTAACACCACCATCTAGCCCCCCTGTGCCCCTCATATAAATATAATAAAAATATTACTGTATTCAAGCCTGAAGCTGTAAATCTGCATGCTGTTAGACTCAGAAAAACAAGCAGTCTGTGGTAGCCTGATCCAATCACAGTGCTTCCCCACAGGATTGGCTGAGACTGACAAAGAGGCAGATCAGGGGCAGAGCCAGCATGATTCAAACACAGCCCTGGCCAATCAGCATCTCCTCTTAGAGAATAATTGAATCAATGAATCTGTATGAGGAAAGTTCAGTGTCTGTATGCAGAGGGAGGAGATACTGAATAACAGGATGCTGTGCACAGTGCTGCCCCTGTGCTCTGCTGACAGCAGATCTGAGTCGATGGAGGCATATTATGCCTCCATCAACTCCAAAGTCCCTCTGGTTCACTCTGAGTGACTGCAACTGGAGGTGTTCCTAGCTTTCAATGTAAACACTGTATTTCCTCTGAAAATACAGTGTTTACGTGAGAGAGGCTCCAGGGAGCTATAGTTCTCACCTGAACAACCTCATTAAGCTGAAGTTGTTCAGGTGACTATAGTGTCCCTTTAAATTTGAAATCTACTTTTGTATTTCTGACACTTCTTACATTCATAAACACTGGAGGTTATAGGAATTGGTCAAACAGGGCAGAGTAATGATGGCATGGTATCTCTTCAACTATTCTTTGTTTTAGTCCTGGCATAAGGCTTGCTTTCGCTGTGCCAAATGTGGAAAAGGTTTGGAGTCTACAACATTAGCGGATAAAGATGGAGAAATATTTTGTAAAGGTAAGTGTTTGCCATATTCTCTACCCTGTCTTTATTTAGTCAGTACAAAATACCACATTTTTGCCTTTTTTTGCATTTTATACAAGGATTTGTTGGAGTTTATATTTTCTGTATACAAGAGCTTTAAAACACAACTCAGAAAGAGGTGCAAAGTCAGATAACCAGTCATAGACAGCCATCTTGTTGTTAATGCAAAATGAGGTTGGATACTGGCTTGCCATTGAGGCTTGGTGTTACTAAAAGGTTTTCAATCAATTTTGTCCCCACCCAAACTCTATTGGTTTGTGCTCTGCAAGTAACGCCAAGCCTCAATAGCAAGCCAATAGCCAACCTCATGCTGAGGAGTTGCATTTCCAACAAAACAGCTGTCTATGAGAGGTTATCTGACTTTGCACCTCTTCCTGAGTGGTTTAAGACTGTTGCATACAGCAGACAAACTTTAAGGAAACATGTATACAGTGGAATGAAGAGGTAAAAAGATGATTCTTTGTTAAACTAATTTGCAAATGCCCAACCAGAATCCTTTGCGATTGTCTGGTGGTTTGACTGCTGTGTGCAGATCTGTGTATTGACTATTCACTGACATGAGGAAGGGGTTTTCAATCATTTTTACCCCACCATAATGCTATTGGTTTGTGCTCCATATTTATTTAGATAGACTTCAAAATAAACATACAGCATTGTTTACAACTTATGTAGCCTGCTCAAAATCCTAGTTTTGCATCTTCTACAGCCCACTAGTCTAGTACCTGTGCTTTTCTTCCGCTATTATATTTTTTAAAATGACCTCTGGTGTAGACCTTTCCCTTACAGATGTACTATTTTTTTTTTTTACAGTTCAGGTCTTTCAAATTTAAGTTCAGAGTAACAGAATGGAAAGCATAACAGACTTAGAGAATTCTTCCAAAATGGCTATATTTGAACTTCAATTTTAAATCCACTTTGAATTCATTTCAAATTCTCACTTTGTAGGTCAGATGTAGGAGAGATGTGATTAGGGCTTCACAAACAAAGTGATTTAATTGCTAAATGGCAAATAATTGAGAAGTGAGGCTGTAGGGGCATTATATCTACACCAAAAGTACATTAAGTTAAACTTGTTTCAGAGCTTATAGTATTGCTATAAGGCCAAACTTTTCAGTCCAGTGGTGGGAACGCTGAGTGTAAGCTCTCCCTACTCAGCTCCCCGCAGTGATGCCGGGAGCTAGAATATGAGTCACTGCGGCTCCCGGCATCAGTCTGCGGCTCGCGAGGGAGCTGTGCAGGGAGAGCTCAAAATTAATGCTGTCTGTCTACCACCTGCCTGCCTGAATGTACACCTGCCCAGCAGCCCCACTAGACACCAGGTAAGAAATCCACCAGCTATCCCAAAGTGAGGGAGGCTGGGTGGATTTAAATAAAAAAAAAACAAAAAAAAAAACAAGTGGGTGTGTATGGCTGTCTGTGTGTGGGTGTGTATGGCTGTCTGTGTGTGGGTGTGTATGGCTGTCTGTGTGTGGGTGTGTATGGCTGTCTGTGTGTGGCTGTGTGTATGGATGGCTGTCTGTGTGTGTATTGCTGTCTGTGTGTTCATGGATATTTGTGTGTGTGTGTATGGCTGTCGCTGTATGTGTGTATGGCTGTGTGTGTGTGGCTGTATAAGGGTGTGTATATATGGTGTATGGCTGTCTGTGTGTGCGCCTCTCTGTCAGTGTGTGTGTGTGTGTATATGTCAGTGTGTGTCTGTAAGGGAACCTGTCTAACTGAGTGATTGTGTGTGTCTGTGAGTAAGTGTGTGTGTCTGTGAGGGAGCCTGTTTGTCAGTAAGTGTGTGTCTGTCAGTGAATGTGTGTGTCTGTGTGTGCTGGAGTGATTCTGTGTGTATGTCAGTGAGTGTGAGTGAGGGCAGGGGTTTAGTAGATGGGGGGACTGGGATTTAATAGACAGATGGGGACTGGGATTTAGTAGACAGGTGGGGACTGAGGTTTAGTAGAGGGGGTCGCTGTTTTTTATTTTTAATACTGTACTTTTCAAAATAAACCTACTTTTCTATGAAAATTTAAATTTTTTGTTTTTTTTGTGGCCCACATAAACTTAAACGTTGTTTATTTGGCCCTTGCTAGCCTTTGAGTTTCACATGTTTGCTCTACACTATGTAAAACTGTCTCATAATTCTGTTCTTTTCTATCATTTTCAGGATGCTACGCTAAGAACTTTGGACCAAAAGGCTTTGGATTTGGTCAGGGGGCTGGGGCTCTAGCCCACACATAATTACATCACTCTTATGTCTGCGTTGTGCAGAGCAATTACACATTGTATCTTCTTTTCACCGGACTAACATAATAAACACAGTTCAGCTTTAGGGTTTGCTTTTCTATAATACCACTGCCAACCATTACTACTGCATATTTTTTCTTTAAGGGAAATATATTCAAAAACACCTATGTGCATCAACTCACATTCTGTGACTGGACATCTGTCACTTAGATTCTTGTTATTATGTAATGGTTTTCAAGAAATGGTTTTCAAGAAACAAAATAATGTATTCATTTGAAAAGGAGTTTGAGGTTTTTTTGTGCTTTTCTTAATAACTTGGTCTGGGGGGGGAATAAATGGTCTACTAACAAACCTGGTTTTATTGATGTGACAAGGCACCCTTGCAAAACTGGAGGCTATATAAAATATATATCCCTTTATTAAATATGTATAGACATGGATGTTTCTAATGTTTTGGACACATTAATAAGTATGCTTATGTATTACATCTTTTTTGATTATTTATACACTGTCTATAATGTGATAATCTGTAGGTTCCTTCCCCCACTTTCATATAACTAAAGTATGTATATGGCTGAAATTAGAATAACTTCCACCACTCTAATGCAGTTGTGGTTAAATATGACAATACAACTGTTGGCGAAGTAAATTTCTATTATAAGTTGTACTATCAAAGCTTGGCCACCATTGCCTTAATGACTTGTTCTCTTTGCACCTTTTCCCCTGAGGGCCTACTTATGTACCAATGAAAGGAAATATTTTGCTGTATTTTGGAAAGCCTTGCATGAAGATAGTGTCACCTCTTTTTGAATTGAATTTTTTCCCTTCATCCACATCATCCATTCCATCATAAAATGACACTATGGGCATCAAAACAACTTTAGCTTAATTAAGCTGTTTTGGTGTGTAGATCATACCTCTGTAGTCTCACAGCCCAATTCTGTCAGTTAGTAGTTAAATCACTTTGTTTATACATCCCTACACATCTCCCTGCATGTAACTTATATATATAGCTTGGTGCTACTTCTAAGTGCTGTTTCTAAGTGTCTAGTCGGAGATATTCTGGAGAGTTTTACAGAAGCTTCAACTGTCTAAGAGTTGTGCCAAGAGCTTTCTTTCCTACTGTTACAGGTAAGATTCATCTGTAGGAAAAGGTTACTGATTGCACAAGGTTTGAATTCCTGTTGGTAAGATTCATCTGTAGGAAAAGGTTACTGATTGCATAAGGTTTGAATTCCTGTTGGTAATTATAAGGCACTTGATTTGATTAAGCTAGTTACTTGCTATTGATTGCTGGTTAATTAGCTATTGTTTGCAAATAAGCAGAGGCCTACCCAGGTGTTAAACATTCCTAGTGGGTGGTGATTTTAGGAGTTATATAAGGCTTGGTGTCATTAGCTTGTCTAATATAGCTTGGTGCTACTTCTAAGTGCTGTTTCTAAGTGTGTAGTGGAGATATTCTGGAGAGAAACTGGAGGTAATCTGAGGTATTCAGGAGGATAAATACAAAGTTAAGATTTGTTAGATTTAAATTATTCTCCTAATTGGAATGGCAGACTTAGTTCAGTGTAACAATTGCTATGCATTTGTTTCACGTTCCACTTTTTGGAGGTTTGGTTGTTGTCTAATCTGTAGACAGTTCTCTATCTTGCGGCAGGAGATTGTATTTTTGAAGTCTGAGATTTGTAAATTATCTGGTGAACAAACTCAGACTGGAACTGCTGCAAAGCCACTGCCGCAGAGACATACTAGGAAAGGCAGATGGATTACTGTAGGATCTGGTAGACTTAGAGTTGTGGATAAAGGGCATTTTGCACAGTCTGTTGCTCTTCATAATTCATTTTCTGCACTTTCAGAGTGTAATGGTGTTGTGGAGAGAGGCACTGAGGCTAGTGGTGTTGTGGAGAGAGGCACTGAGGCTAGTGGTTTGTGGAGAGAGGCACTGAGGCTAGTGGTGTTGTGGAGAGAGGCACTGAGGCTAGTGGTGTTGTGGAGAGAGGCACTGAGACTAGTGGTGTTGTGGAGAGAGGCACTGAGACTAGTGGTGTTGTGGAGACCGGCTTGGAGACTATGGTGAGGCCTAATAGAAAGCAGTTGTTGTTGGGGGATTCCATTATAAGAGGTGTGGAGATGGACAATGGTGGTCTTGTGAGGTGTCTTCCCGGAGCTACTGCTCACAGAGACAGGAGACGTATCTGTAATATTGTTAAGCAAGCAAAGCAGGAAGGGGAATTGGATGTACTTGTCCATCTAGGGACAAATGACTTGGCTTGCAATGAGGTTTCAGAGGTTAAGGAAGTTTTTAGTGTTTTTGCCAATGATATACGGCAGGTTGCTTCCACACTGTCATTCTCTGAAGTTCTGCCTGTGAATAACAATCAGAACGACAGGCGGATGCGTATTAGGGACTTTAATTTGTGGCTTGGTGAATGGTGTCAGGAGCAAGGATTTGGCTTTATTTCTCATGGTAGCTCTGTTTGGAATGGAGATAAGCTGTACAAAAAAGATGGTTTGCATCTTTCTCAAAGGGAACAAATGTTCTCAGTGAGCAGTTCAGAGGTTTTGCTAGGATGTATTTAAACTAGGAGGGGGGGGCAAAAGGGTGATAAAACATCAATCCAATTGTCCCCCAAAACAAGGACAGAAGGTGCCTGTAGCAAGTGTGTTAAAAAATGATAAGCTTAGAGTCATGTCTACAAATGCTCGCAGTTTAGGGAATAAGATCCATGAACTTGTGGCAATAATGGCAACTGATAGTGTAGATTTAGTCGCTGTTACTGAGACATGGTACAATGAGAAAAATGACTGGGACATAGCAATACCAGGTTACTCTTTATATAGGAAAGATAGGGAAGGCAAGAAAGGGGGAGGGGTGGCCTTGTATGTGAAGGATATCATAAAATCTAGCCTAATAAAAGTTAGTGAGGCAAACATAGAGTCCGTTTGGGCTACGTTAGAATTTGGTAATCACACAGTAACTCGTGTAGGTGTGATTTATAGGCCCCCAGGACAAATTGAAGAGTTAGATAATCTACTAGTTGAGGAAATAGCTAAAATGACAATGAAGGGGAAGTTATCATCATGGGTGACTTTAATCTTCCTGATGTAAATTGGAAAACAAAATTAGCTACTTGTGCCAGGAGCACACATATTCTAAACTCCCTACTGGGATTGTCTCTAAAACAAGTTGTTGAGGAGCCAACTCGTAAAGAGGCCATGCTAGATTTAATGTTAACAAATGGAGATTTGGTATCAGATATTACTGTAGGTGAAAGTTTGGGATCCAGTGATCATCAGTCAGTGTGGTTTAATATAAGAACAGTGACTGAGTCACACCACACAAAAACAAAAGTTTTAGACTTTAGAAAAACAGACTTTTCTAAAATTAGAATATGGGTAGAGGAGTCATTATCAGACTGAAGCAATTTAAATGGAGTCCAAGAGAAATGGGATTATTTAAAAGTTGCACTATTGAAGGCAACAGAATTAGGCTTGTCAGTAAAAGCAAAAAATTCAAGAAACCACTGTGGTACTCCGCAGATGTGGCCAAAATAGTTAAAAACATAAAGTTAGCATTTAGGAATTATAAAAAAACCCAGAGTGAGGAAGACAAAATGATCTATAAGATTAGGCAGAAAGAGGCTAAGCAAGTTATAAGAGCTTCCAAATCACACACAGAAGAGAAAATAGCACAGTCAGTAAAAAAGGGGGATAAAACATTTTTTAGATACATAAATGAGAAAAGAAAAGTAAAACAAGGATTAGTTAGATTAAAAACAAAAGAAGGAAGGTATGTAGAAGAGGATAAAGGTCTAGCTGACTGCCTCAATGAATATTTTTGTTCTGTATTTACAGATGAAAATGAAGGAAAGGGACCTCAGTTGAGAAAAAGGATAAATGAGTCATTTATTACACGTGAGTTTACAGAGGAAGAGGTTCTATTTCAACTGTCAAAAGTAAAGACAAATAAGTCAATGGGACCTGATGGAATACACCCAAAGCTATTAAAAGAGCTTAGTGGTGTACTAGCAAAACCATTAACAGATTTATTTAACCAATCATTGTTAACAGGAGTAGTCCCAGAAGATTGGAAGTTAGCGAATGTTGTGCCCATTTACAAGAAAGGTAATAGGGAGGAGTCGGGCAACTATAGGCCAGTAAGCCTTACTTCAGTAGTGGGGAAAGTGATGGAAACCATGTTAAAGGATAGGATTGATGAACATCTAAAAACACATGGATTTCAAGATCAGAGACAACATGGGTTTACTTCAGGGAGATCATGCCAAACTAATCTTATTGATTTTTTTGATTGGGTAACTAAAATTATAGATCAGGGTGGTGCAGTAGACATTGCTTACCTAGATTTCAGTAATGCTTTTGACACTGTTGCACATAGAAGGCTTATCAATAAACTGCAATCTTTAAGTTTGGATTCCAATATTGTTGAATGGGTAAGGCAGTGGCTGAGTGACAGGCAACAGAGGGTTGTAGTTAATGGAATATATTCGAAGCTTGGACTTGTCACCAGTGGGGTACCTCAGGGATCTGTACTTGGACCCATTCTCTTTAATATTTTTATTAGTGATATTGCAGAAGGTCTTGATGGTAAGGTATGTCTTTTTGCTGATGATACTAAGATATGTAACAGGGTTGATGTTCCAGGAGGATAAGCCAAATGACAAATGATTTAGGTAAACTAGAAAAATGGTCAGAATTGTGGCAACTGACATTTAATGTGGATAAGTGCAAGATAATGCATCTTGGACGTAAAAACCCAAGGGCAGAGTACAGAATATTTGATAGAGTCCTAACCTCAACATATGAGGAAAGGGATTTAGGGTAAAGGGCCCCACTACTGCTCATTGAAGTGGTCTGGATGCACTGTCCCAGGGCCCTTTACCCTGCAAAAGTAATTATTGCAGTTTTTAAGAAACTGCAATAATAACCGTTCAGGGTTAACTCCTCCTCTAGTGGCTATGCATGGGGGCGTCCAGCTTCAAGCAAGACCCAATAGGAAAGCATTGTATAATACTTTCCTATTGAGAAATCCTAATGCGGCCATTGAGGAGCAAAGGTGGACCAGTGCATCGGCGCTAGACCCGGGTAGTGACAAGGGAGTTATTAACCCCTTCTGCACCACAAGGTAGGGGCGCTTGACAGAGGGGGAAGCTATAGTGCCAGGAAAACAAGTTTATTCTTTTCTTCCTTATTTTACAAAAAGTGTAAATAGAAATCGTCCATTTTATAAATTAACTTTTTTACACCTATCCAGCTTTCAAGCAGACATGTCCTGTTACTTCCTGTTATTTCCTGGTTTGTCTGTCTCAGTGGAGCTAAAATCAAGAGACAGGCAATTGCTCAGAGCACCTACCTTGGAAAGACTTCTCACTGAGCTGCTTTGGAAAGTCTGTAATTTAACAAACGTATAAGACCAACTTCTAGTGTGCATTTTGATTTTGCTGTGTGTGGTATTTTTATTGTATGATTTTGTGCAATACGCTTAAAGTACTATTTATAAGCACCAAGAAAACTTTTGAAGCAGTTATTTTTTATGTGTACAGACCAGTGGTTCGCAAACTAGTACTCAAGGCACCCCTACAAGTCTAGGATTTCGGGATTACCCAGTTGTGTCTAAGGTGTCTTTTAGTGGAAAAAACCCCATCTTAGACACAACAGAGTATTCCCTAAATCCTTGACTGGTATGAGTTCATTGAGGACTGGTTTGGGAACCACTGGTAGATCTAATTTAGGAATTAAATCACGTTTGTTTTAGCCACACATCCCTGCCTGTGACTCGCATAGCCTAAACGGGAGGTGGGGGGGGAAGGATCATTTTCAGTCACATGTGACAACCATGTGTTTACTTTAGTTTTCATCTCCAACACTGTTGATTTAACTTCAATCATGCTGTAGCAGGCGGTTAACTGAGCAGTATATGATAAATTCTGAAGTAAACAGACAGTGCAATGAATGGAAGTTGAAACATTACGTTTCTCTTCACAGGAAATATGTAGGCAGACTGTATATGCCACATGCTGGGAAGATGTGACACGGTCTGCATACACAAAGTGATTTAACTACTAAATGGCAGAGAATTTAGAGGTTTGAAAGGAAGTACATAATCTAACTGCCAAAAACACTCAATTAAGCTAATGTTATTTTTGTGCTTATAGTGTCCTTTTAAAATGTAGGTATTCAGCCTGGAACTTTATACACTCTTTGTCACTTATCACCTAGATATAATAAATCTATATTATTAGCAATGTATTTCTGATTTGCTTTTGTTTTGATCCCATTATAAGAATTGCAAAAAATGCAGTCATAACTGGAATTTGTGTACCTACCTTCCCTTCATGCACAACTATTTAGTGAATAGAGGTGGTAGGCCAAATCCCATGAAGCCTACAGTATAATTTCTTCTCAAAAAGTATACCAAAAATGTTTAAATGTATTTTTATCATTCAAGGATTATTGAATAAGTGTGTAGAAATCATGTTTGAAGAAAACAACAAAAACAGCACATTGGCAGATTTTGGCACCTATTACAAGTTTACAACTTGGAATTAGGACACACAAATAAGGCAATAAAATCGGCTTTGAGGAATAACATCTGTTAGAGCCAATTGGGGAAAGCTACATATCTGGAAATAGATTGTGATTGAAGGAGTCCTTCAAGGAGGGTAATCAGGTTTTTGAACCTGTTAAATTACACCTTCATGTCATAATTGGTACAAGCACCAACTAGAAAGGATCCTTGTCTGGATCTGAAGAGGCAAAAGCTCAACATGGTTTGTTATAACGTTCAAATAAGGGAACAATTGGGGAAATAGTGAAGAACATATGGTGTTGTGGGAAATAAACAAGCAAAGGCACATGGGTGTACTAAAACGTATAACTTAAAAAAAGTTTATTTCAATAAGATAAGGGCGGCTTTATTCGTTGGGATGATCACACAAAAAAAAGAGGATAAATAAAATATCTTCAAATGTTATAAAATGCATACTTCTCTGTATTTACCGTTTGGTTTTGTTTGTATATGTATTGTAATTTAAACGCTGCCTACACTGTGAATTGCCTTGTTTTATATGTGTGGATGTGCCCTCCTAGAATGTGTGTTTCCCCTCTTTCATATTCCTCTTTCTGTAATTTTGCCCATAAAATCCTGCAATACACCTTTTGACCGCCACAGAGCCCCGTGCGCTGGACCACGAGCGGCGCATGCTTCCTCTGGGTGGCCGCTGGCTTGTCTCACTGAACACCCACTAGAGGGAGCATTCGACTCCCAAACTGGCATTTGTACACTGTCTTCGACCTGCTGCTAACAGAGCTATAATCACTTGCCACTCTCAAACCTGGGAGCTACGAGGCTAGGCTCGTGGCTACCCAGGCGAACGCGCTCTCCAGCGGACATCTGAGTGTGCCCACCAGAGAGAGGGACGCCAGCCAGCAGGGAGCCCCTGGGGCTGTGAAGCGGTCTCACAGCCACAGGGTTCCCTCTGGCCGCATGGAAATCCGTGGAGACCAATGGGAAAGGGAGCTCCCATTTAAGCTGGGTTCGGACTATTCTCCTGATTGGTCAGCGCAAGTAAAGCGCTGATTGGTTGCTGCAGGGAGCGGCGACCAATCAGAGAAGGAGCGCTTGTTCAAACAGGGTCTTGTGCCCTTCCATCTGATTAGGCGGTGAAACGCCTCTCGTCCCTGGGCACTGATTGGAATAAGTTTTGCGCCTTTCAGCAGATTGGTGTCATCAGGTTTCATGCCCTTTCTTTGGATTGGGTGGCAAAACTCCTTCCTTCCCCTAACGCTGGTTGGCGCGATTTAGTTTGCGCCCTTTCGGCTGATTGGTTGTTGCTTGGTTTGGGTGCGAAGTTTGAATTCGCCGGACTAAACCAAGCAACATCATGGAACTAATTTTTGGGATGTATAGAGCCTCGAGCCCCAGACTTTCGACACTGATATCTCTGGCTCTGTACATCCGATTGCCCCACTTTTTGCAGGTGTCTTGGGGGGAACTGGGGCTATTCATCCGTATAAAGTGTAACCCTGTACCACCTTCCCGTCCCGGGGAGCCGAGCACTAAAGTTCACCCCCCGTATATAATGTGTACTCATGCATGTCCCTGTTAGTATCTCCAAGAGCGGGAGACGGTTATCTGCATGAGTATGTTGTGTTGGATGGAGACCCCCTGCGGGCGTCTGTGCATAAAAAGCTGTGTCCCTAAATAAACACTGTCAAAGATTGTATCCTGGAACTGTGTCCCATCCAGTTACTGGGGAAATGGGTTTGACCTATCCTAACCAAAGGGGATAACCAGCCAGGTTACCCATGTCCCACTACATGTATAAATATTAGCTTGAAGGTAAGCCTAAAAATAAGAAAAGGCCCATTTAATAAGAGGCATCATATGTAAGATAAGGAAGTCAGTAATGCGTATAAAAAGCTAATTAGATGGGCTAAACTAGAAAATAAACATAGAGGAGATTCCTACACATAAATTACATGTGGGAGTCTCTGAAATTGGTTACTTAAAGTAATCTCAACAGGGGGTAACCCTATTTTAGACAATAAAGAAAAGACCCAACAAAGTGGTAATTTCCCAAGATATTACCATTAAAGGGACACTATAGTCACCAGAACAACTACAGTTTATTGCATTTGTTCTGGCGAGTTAAATCATTTCCTTCAGACTTTTAGCTATAAACACAGTCTTTTCAGAAAAAAAATGCAGTGTTTACATTACAGCCTAGTGATAACTTCACTGGCCACTCCTCAGATGGCTGATAGATCCTTCCTGGGTCATGGCTGCTTAAAATGCATCCAAACATTCAGTGTCTCCACCCTCTGCATGCAGACACTGAACTTTCCTCATAGAGATTAATTGATTCAATTCATCTCTATGAGGAGATGCTGATTTTGTGTTTGAATTGTGCTGGCTCTGCCCCTGAAGTTGTTTTTTTTCCCCATTATTTTGCATTTTCTTTGTAATAAATGTAAATGTATATACATATTTGTCACATCAAATTAAAGCCCTTTTGGTCATCTAAAAAAATAGTAACCTAAGTGGCACTTATCTGGCTTCAAGTTCAGGCCTGTGGCCCGAATCTTGTCCAGAACTACCCCTACATGAACCAGGTGGTCTTCCCAAGACTTACTGTAGATCGCATTGTCGTCCAGGTATGCACATGCAAAATCCTGGAAGCCATCGAGGAGCTTATCCACCAAATGTTGGAAGGTAGCCGGAGCATTTTTCATCCCGAATGGCATGACCCTAAACTGGAACAGGCCAAACGGGGTGACAAATGCAGACTTGGGGATAGCTTCCTCGGCCAGGGGAATCTGCCAATAGCCTTTGCACAGGTCTATTGTAGTTAGATAATGTCCCCTGGCTATTCAATCTTGCAGTTCATGTACCCTGGGCGTCAGTGGTAGTCTTTTCATTAAGTCGCCTGTAGTTCACTCAAAACCTGGTGGTTCCATTGTTCTTGAGTACAAGGACTACAGGTGAGGCCCAGGGACTGAGTGCTCAATGACTCCTAACTGAGTCATCTCCTGTATCTCATTCCGCATTCCTTCTCGGACTGCTTCAGGGATACGGTAGGGTGGCTGAGGGGTGCTTGTCCGGGGGTCTCTACCTTATGTACGGCCAGAGTAGTGTATCCCGGTTCTTGGGAGAAGGTAGCCTGTTTTTCCTATAGAAACTGTTTGGTTTGTTCGGTCTCCGTGGGGCGTAACTGGTCTCCTAACTTCACTAGGCTAGTGAGGTCAGTCTGGGGATACCTTTCTAATAGGTCAGAGGGGTAAGCTCTCAGAGTCGTCGGTAGCAGGGGCACATACTGCAGCGATATCTTACTGCCTTTCCTGATACTCCTTCAGCATATTCACATGAAAGGATCGCTGGATCCTTTCATCTGCACAGCTGGCAATGACATACATAGTGTCACAGAGTTGGACCACTACTTTATACAGGCCCTGCCAAGATGCCCGCAGCTTGTCCTTTTTTCACAGGTTTGAGCACTAGGACCATTTGCACAACCAGAAAAGTGCGCTTACCATCTTTTCTGTTTCCCCTGGGCCGCCTGGAGATTATCTCTTACCATCAGAGACAGTTGCTGTCGGGATCCCGCGGGCGGCTGCGAGGGGAGGCTGCACTCCGCTCGCGGTACTCATCCTCCAGCCGTCCGCGGTCCCCTCCTCCTCGTGGGCTCGGTGAGCGGCATCCTTCCAGCCTTGGATGCCGCCCGCCGTTTCCTCCACGTCCCCCAGCGGCAGCATACATGACGCTGCACGCTGGGAGACCGCCCAAATTATTACACGTCCACCCGGCGTTAAAGGCACAGTGCCTCAATCACAGTGGGAGGTTTAGATATCTCCCACGTGTGATTGTTAATTCTGATTGGAAATTATCCAATCAGAATTAACCTTATGGTTTAAATACTTACCTTTCCTGTTCCTCCCTGCCCTGTTGTGGTCTTTGCTTACTAGTATTGCTACTTACCTTGTGTTTCTGGTTACGTACTCTCTGGCTTGTTTATCTGACTCTGTGACTTTCTCCTACCCTTTGACCTCGGCTCGTTTCACGTTATTCTGTCTTCTGGTTCCCCTTACTCGGCTTGTCTCCTGACTATTCTGTGTGTGCTTAGCCCGGCCACTTTAAGGTCCGGTACGGCACCTTTTCTGTGTGTGTGTGTGCCAGAGTGTTGTGTTCCCCGAATCGTGACAGTTGCTCCATGTGGTCCCGGAGTTCCAGCATGTATGGCACTATGGGGGTCCCCTCCTGTTCTGTCTCTCCTTACCAGTGTCCTCTAATGAGATCCAGGGGCCCGCACACCCTTCTCCCATAGAGTAACTCAAAGGGAGAAAACCCAGTAGATTCCTGGGGTACCTCCCTGTACACAAATAACAGGTGAGGTAGGAATCTCTCCCCGTCTCCTCAGCATTTGCTTCAGGGTTCTGTTAAAGCGCTCACTGAGACTGTTAGTCTGGGGGTGGTAAGGTGAACTCAACGGAGGCTTAATGTGAGAACAGCAGTGAATTGTGTCCCTTAATTGGTCTGGTGTAGGACAGGATCTCCTTAGGGAACCCCACTTGGGTGAATATTTTAACCAGGGCATCGGCTACCGTCTCTGCCTCAATATTAGACATAGCTACTGTCTCTGGGTAACGTGTGGCATAGTCCACCACGGTAAGAATGTACTTCTTTCCAGATGGACTAGGTCTAGCTAAGGGACCCACAATGTCACCGGCTATGCGGTAAAAGGGTTCCCCAATAATAGGCATTGACATTAGTCTGGCCTTAGTGTGGTCCCCCCCACTTCCCTACCCATTGACACTGTCGCACATCCCTATTAAAACTTGGCCAGAAGTAATTCTAGGTAAACCTATGGGCCGTGGTGCATGTCCCTAGATGTGCTGCCAAGGGGACATCATGCCCGATTCGCAGAATCTCCAGCTGATATTTCTTGGGTACTACCAGCTGTCTCTTCTGCGAAGGGGTCTTACCTGTTGTAGATTTCTTGGGGATCCTGTATAGCCTGCTCATAGAGTTCCCCATCTGCTCCCCTCTCCTGGGTGTCTGCCTTGCCCCTATATTTTGTAAGGGTCAGATCTTCCCAGGCCTCTTTCCCAAATGCCTTTGGGGTATCCCAGCCTAGGGGGGCATGTTCAAGGGTAATAGTCGGGGTAGGTGCCTGTTCCAGCAGCACGGGTCTGGGCACGGGTAGTCACAGGGTTAGCCTCATGTAAGACTCCCCAACGAGCAGAAGGCATTGGTGCACAAGGGTTCCCTCTGCTCTGCTTCCTCCAGGACTGAGACTGCCGGGAAGAATTCAAAGGGCAGTCTGGTAACTTATGTCCGACTTGGTCACAACGGTAACACTTTAGTGGCTGTTGGTTGTTTTGCTGGGCATACCTGGATGGATTTTGGTAGGCGGTAGGTGGAGGGAGTGCCACGGGTCGGTATTCCGGTCATGGAGTTGACTTGACCACAGACGTGTCTTGCTTGTGGCGTCAGTGTACTCATCCGCGAACCGAGCTGCTTCAGGCAGGGTGAGAGGTCTCCTGTCTCTAATCCATTCTCAGATTCCAGGATTCAGCACATTGTAAAAGTGCTCCAGCAGGAATAACTGCAGCACCTCTTTCCCGGATACCGCCTGGCATCCATTGATCCAGTGGGATGCTGTGCGATGTAGGTGGCATGCCCACTCTGTGTAAGAGTCAACATGTTGTTTTGTAGAGTCCCGGAATCGCCTCCGGTATGCCTCAGGAGCATGGGCGTAGGAACCCCCAAAAATCTGGGGGGGGATAGCATTTTTACTCGCCGGGTATATTCTTATTCTGTAAACTAGGAGTCGTTTATCCCATTGTACAGCGCTATGGAATTTGCAGTCGCTATATAAATGATTAAATAATAACTTTAAAGGGTCACTACAGGGAAGGGATTTTACTTACCTGGATACAGCGCCGGGATCCTCCTGATGCTGCGCCCCCTATTTCGTCTAAATGACTTAATAGGAGGGTGCGAGCAGGGAGCAATAAAACGCTTCTATTCAGAAGCGTCATTGCTCTCTGGTGCGCATGCGCAGCTTTGCCGCACATGCACAGATACTTCATAGGGCGGCATTCATGTCTCAACTAGGAAGCACCTCTAGTGGCCATCTGAGTGTCCACTAGAGGTATTCCTCATCAGTAATGTAAATACTGCCTTTTTACGAAATGGCTGTGCTTACATTAAAAAGCCTGCAAAGACATGCTATAGACACCAGAACTACTACGTTTAGCTGTTGTGGTTCTGGTGACTATAGTGTCCCTTGAATATAGAGTGGAAAAAAGAATCATCACAAATGTAAGAAATAAAATGTCTGTATCATTATTCTAAAAATTATTTAAAAAAAATAAAAAAATATGCCCATTCCTAGCTTAATTTTTAGCACGACATATGACACAAACATTTTGTACTTTGCAGATTACTTTTTATATATTTTTTTATACATATACAAATTGTGTAATACTGCCCCTGACTTAGGGTGACCACATTTCCTAACTGCCATTCAGTGACACTGTCAGAAATGCATTCCATACATTTTACTACCCGTCTCTACCCCTTCCATTTATATTAGAACCCCACCTACCCCTTCCATGGATATTAGAACCATCCCTACCCCTCCCATGGATATTAGAACCATCCCTACCCCTCCCATGAATATTAGAACCACCCCTACCCCTTCCCCTTCCATGCACAAAAGAACCCCCCCTACCCCTTTCATGCATATTAGTACCCCCCTAACCCCTTCCATGCATATTAGTACCCACTACTGTCTGCGGTTAACCACAATGTTAAATAAGGTCAGAAAGGTTAACGAGCAGCACACTTTCCTGCTGGGTAGCCCGCCATTAGGTAGTTCGTTCGTCTTTTGTGGAATGCAACCAGGAAACACACGAACAACCTGGGGACTGGCGAACAAACAGACGAAATAGTCTTTAAATAATAATCCAGAGGCAGGGAGGTCTGCCACAACACCTATGTATTGATACATTTGCAGTACCCTGCAAAATCACTTCATATTTAGTCAGTCTACTGTTAGTCATACTACTGAAAGAAAGAAGAAATATAATAATGCCTATGTACACCTCTTAAATGGGTGATAACCCCTGTAGAGAAATGAAAAAAGAAAAGAAGCGGAGGATACAATACGTATATGAACAATGGAATACTGAGAGAAAAATATGTGAATTAAAACATAACTTTTAATTTAAGTAGAAATCCCTAAAAAGTCTCATAAGACAAAAAGACCCACTACAACACAAAACTAATAGTACTATGTACACATACATACAATTAAAAATTGACAGAGGCTGAAAAAATTGTTGTAAATGCCCCTAAAAAAGATTTAGTGTAAATCACTAAATCATATATCAATTGAACTGTTTGATAACAGGATATCAACTGACAAAGGATTGATAGTAGATACTAGGTAGTCAGCAGTAATAGTTCTGACTCTATTGGCAACTATGAATCTCAGTAGTTATAGGAATGTAACCAAAATGCAGCTTCTGTAGTTAGAAGAATATAGATAGCTGTTTGGTAAGGAGTTTAACGCTGAAGGTAAAACTTCCTATAATTTACCAAGTTTATAACAGGGTGGGGTGAGGGGAGAAAGGGAAAGGGATTAGCAAAGTGACTGTCCCTACTGTGCCTTCGAGGGCATCCCTTACCCCTAAATGACCCTTAATTGGAATACAGTACAATCCACCCACTCCTAAAAGAGGTCTAATAGAGAGTAAAAAGAAAGATGCCAAGAAAAAAACTAAATGAAATAATTCCTAGAAATCAGAAATCACTGCAAACAGTAGTGTGGACACAGCAATGCCCCAGAGCCCCTAATGCACGTTTCGCTGGATCAGCTCATCAGAGGGGAACCGGATAGTAGAGTTTACCAGTTTTTAAAGGGAAGGGCTTGGAAGCTGATTGGAGCATTCAAAATGTAATCATCCAATCAGATTATCATATGTATAATTATCAATTATGGATGATAGGAATATCAATAGACCTTTAGTGGATGACATTATATCTATGGATAGATATACAGTACAGTCTCTCTATGGGTCAAGTAAATAGCAGTTCTAATGCTAGTTCATAATTACGCAATGATATTTTTAACAAAATGAAATAAAAGATGGAGCTATATTTGTTTAGATGATGGAGCTTGCATTAGCCATGAATGAAGGGAGTAAAATTGAACTCTTCGTTTAAGCCTCTAGGGGCCAGAGTTTGAAAAGTATGTATCCATTTAGATTCTTGCTTCAAAAGTTTCAAATTAAAATTCCCTTTTCTGGAATTCAGATCATTAGTGATGTCGCGAACCCGAAATTTTCGGTTCGCGAACGGTGGACGCGAACTTCCGCAAGTGTTCGCGAACCGGCGAACCGGCCGAAACGCCATTGACTTCAATGGGGAGGCGAATTTTAAAACACACAGGGACTCTTTCTGGCCACAATAGGGATGGAAAAGTTGTTTCAAGGGGACTAACACCTGGACTGTGGCATGCATGTCCCGGTAAGGGATCCATGGCAAAACTCCCATGGAAAATTACACAGTTGATACAGAGTCTGGTTTTAATCCATAAAGGGCAGAAATCACCTAACATTCCTAAATCACAATGAATATGGATTGACACCTGACATATGACATATTGACACCTTGACATATGGATTGACACCTGTCCTCAGAGCCCCTGATGCACACGGACACAGAGCAGAATAGAGACTGGTCCCCTACATAGGGTCACTTGGCAGATATGGATTGACACCTGTCCTAAGGACCTGATACACACTGACACAGAGCAGAATAGGGACTGTTCCCCCTACATCGGGTCACTTGGCAGATATGGATTGACACCTTGTTACAAACTACTATTTGTAACGGGCCCTTTAAATGGCAAATTGCCCTGCTTCCCTGGGTTGTGGAGAAGCCTATTTGCCAGCCTCCTCCCGCATGACTATGGCCCCTGGGAGATTGTGAAAATGTATGCACTTTTATTTGGTGTGTATGGCCCTTTAAGACTGTCGGTGGGCATATTGGGGCTTATGGACTCTTTATGTGACTGGTGCTGGCCCTTTAAACACCTTTTTTGGGACATCAGGAAGATTAGGACACTGCCCCTTTAAGGCCGTGTCCCCAGACTTGTTGGGGACACGGCCCCTTTAAGACGGTGTCCCCTGTGTCCCCAGACCTGGTGCAAACCCTTTGTGCCTGCCTTGCTATTCCCACTTGGTTCAGTAAATGGGAAATTATTTCAGCTGCAGAGACTAAGTCCCATTCGGCGATGGGACTTAGTCGTTTTTTCAGCCTGAAATAGACCGACCTCACAGCCCAAATCTATGGAACTGTTTTGGGCAGGAAAATGTGCTTGCGGTCGGTCATAAAGGGACCTCCAGCTAACTTTTTAACCCCTGGATGTATTTGGCTGATTTTTGGTTATGTTTATGTTTTAAGTGTGCTGATTCCAAATATGTAATTATGAAGATGGGATGTGTAGTTTTAAAGTTACAGGGTATGGCTAAAAACTGTATTTTTACTGCCTGTGTTTAATTATGTTAATCTCTTCCCAAACGTCATTTCGTTCAAAGTGGAGAGAATGTTAAAAAAATATATTTTTGTTCGGAGTGTGAGAAATGCTTTTCAGCCGCTTCTAATCTTAAGCATCATTTGAGGAGCCATACAGGAGAGAAACCTTATTTGTGGTGTGTTTAGTATTGTTCTGATCAGTTTAATACCTTCAGCGTCTCCTATCAGTGGACGTGTATATGGCAGCCATTTTAGGAACCGTACACCTGGGACCCGAGCAAGGTCACCTCGTTCAACAGGCTTGCAGCGTATCCTCCAGGAAGAAGAGCCTGAACCCTTACCGGCTGCACGTGTCTTACCTGTACATGGAAAGCTGCTGTGGTTCCTTGATGAGCCAGCTGCCCGTGAGTTAACATGTCCGTGGAGAAGCACTCTGTCCTGTAAAGCCTCACCAAAAAAAAGGAGTGGTGTGTTTAGTATTGTTCTGATCCGTTTAATACCTTCCGCGTCTCCTATCAGTGGACGTGTACACGGCATTGATTTTTATCTAAGCCGTAAACTTTTGCACAGCGAAGTATATTCACTGCCATTGAAAAGGAGTGCATGGCGGTGGTGTGGGCCCTCAAAAAGCTGCAACCTGCTTGTATGGACAACCGTTTACCTTACTCACAGATCACATTAAATTTGGGGCACTGCGCGGTCAAGCTAATGTGACACCAGATAGTAGTGGTGTGTTTAGTACTATTTTTATCAGTTTAATACCTTCAGCGTCTCCTATCAGTGGACGTGTACACGGCATTGATTTTTGTAACAGGGAGATGGAAGAAGAGGCTTGGTCGGTCCTCTTACTGCAAATTTGGGGCACTGCGCGGTCAAGCTAAAGTGACACCAGATAGGAGTGGTGTGTTTAGTACTATTTTTATCAGTTTAATACCTTCCGCGTCTCCTATCAGTGGACGTGTACACGGCCTTGATTTTTGTAACAGGGAGATGGAAGAAGGGGCTTGGTCGGTCCTCTTACTGCAAATTTGGGGCACTGCGTGGTCAAGCTAATGTGACACCAGATAGGAGTGGTGTGTTTAGTACTATTTTTATCAGTTTAATACCTTCCGCGTCTCCTATCAGTGGTCGTGTACACGGCAGTAATTTCTGTAACAGGCAGATGGAAGAAGATGCATAAAAAATAGTAAAATAGTGAGAGCACACTGTACATGCAATAAATAATATTACCAGTACTTCACAAGATAAATAGCTGAA